ATGATCGTGATCGGAGACCATTGTGAGTGGAAACCCATATAGTTTGCCTACATCTCTTAAGGATACTATAACAACATCAAACGTAGTGTAAGGGTGTTGTCAAGAGAGACATCATCATATATCTATTATGAAACCGAAAGTGGTTGTAGGAGGCCCGTGTGTGACAAAGTTTCGTCTTTGTGTTGTTGACAGATTTAATATGAGGTGAAATACCACTTGATGGCAGCTTCATTCTATTCTAGAAGAATTCACGATGAATGTATTTATGTGCATAATAAATCTGAGTGACCCCCAAGAGTACTATTATAATACTCATGAAGAATTAACGGAATGAGTGAAGAGTCAGGAGGCACAAATAAACAGCTCTTGTAGAATAAAAGATCTCCTCGCATGGAATAATTAGACTAATTTTGGTTATCATTGGAGAGATCCCACATAATTTGTTGGAATTTGGGATGAGAATGAAGATCGACTTTTAGCTGATCAAAAAATATATTACGAGGAGAATAAGTGTCCAATAGAGTAGATAATTGATGGAATTTTCACAAAAGGGGATCAATAGCATGATCCTCAGCACCAACTTTGAACTTAATATCAAAATGATAGCCTAAAATCTTGATTAACCATCATTGATAATTTAGAGCAATTTGTCGTTGTTCAAGTAAAAATTTCAAGCTGCATTGATGTATATCAATAATAAAGGGTCATCCCAAGAGGAAATGATGTTATTTTTTAATATAAAGGACAATAGTCATTAGCTCCCATTCGTAAATAGGTTTGAGGACAAAGTTCTGCATGAGAATAGTGCCTAAATCAATTCTAGAAGCATCAGCTTCAAATTCAAATGGAATCATAAAATTTAGTAAAACTAACACATGTAAAAGATAGGGCATGTTTCAATTGCTTAAAAGCGATCGTCGCAGCATCATCTTAGTGGAATGAATCATACTTGAGTTGTTGACTTAAGGGCCAAGCAATTGTGTCATAATTTTAAATGAAACATGCCCTAGCTGTAAATAACAATTAGTGAGGCCTAGAAAACCATATAGTTCTTTTATATTAGTTTGTTGTGGCTAATGTTACATAGTAGAGATTTTAGAGGAATTTACTATAACACTTTAGTTGTAAATAATATGGCCTAGATAATTGATCGAAGGGAAATCAACACGACATTTTTTTTATTAATATGTAAATGATTAATGACGTGATTTAGTCATTGTATAGTAAATCACGTAAATTTAAAATTTATAAAACTAAAAAATACTATTTTTTAGATATTTAGAAGTATTTCTGAACAAATATATCAATTATAACTCTATAAAACTTATAAAAATACTAGTAATTTTCCAAGGTTAATCACAGAGATGTAATATAATATCAGATAATTTTTCATAATTTTTCTCAAAGAATACTAATTTTTATGAATTTTATACTAAAAAATAAAAATGAAATATATTTAAAATTTACGGAAAAGGAAAATAAAGATGCGGACATCAAGATGACGTCAGCGCCCGATGAACACAAATCCTGCGAAAACAAAGTTCCACCTGTCGATTCTTACGTAAGTAATTACAGATGATTTAATGATTGAATTAAGATCTATAAAAGTTAGAAGAATCATAATTGAATGAAGTATAGTTTGCTGAATTTAAATTACATAAATTATTACTAAATAAAATAAAAATTAAGTTGAAAGCAAGAAAATAAAGTTTTGACGTCACGGCGGCAATGCGTCAGTGGTGTACTAGAATCTTGAGTGTTCAGGAGGATCGTCATGTAGTGTCCATGGCCTCGAAGGCTCTCCTTAGATAAGGATGACATGAACAGTTTCTAGATCTCCTTACAAAGTTTAGAGATCAAGAAAATGAGTCATCAAATCATCTCTGGTGGTTGTCACTCAGTAGAGCAGAAAAATGACAACTTTGCGATTCTCTGACGGCTGTCACACGATGAAGAGGAATTAGATAGTGGTGGGGTGCATGTTAGGGAGCTTCATCCTCAAGTTTGCATAGCAAGAGGAAGTTCTTCATCGCATCCGGTATACTCTCAAAAGGTTGCGACTCGTCTCTTGGTAGATTGTCTTCTTTCTGACGACGGCTTATTGGTCAATCAATCGGAGATCATTTACTTGATGGATTCGCGATCCTTTTATCGCGAATCATTCAACAATTTTAGTAACAATGCTTCACGAATCTCGTTGACGAGATTTTTGCTAATGATCTAACACTTCTGGTAGCTTAATCCTTCATCGACGATTTGTAAGAAAGTCGTGATAATTAGATAAAAATACAAGTTTTAGCTCTAGAAGAATTCAAACCCGCATTAATTGTCCGTTTGCATGAGAGAGATTAAAATAAGTACTCTAATGCCCTTATCAAGTGGCGTCATCATAGTATATCTATGTTATAACGAAAGGGTATTTTAGATATTAAAATTTTCAAAGTCTTTCGGGAGAAAGTGTGATGCGGGTTTAATCCCACATCGCTTGTGCGTTGAAGTTTTAGATGAACATATAGTAATATTACATTTGCAAGCAATGAGTTACTTTTTCCTCTATGTACGACTACTCTGTACACATACTTCTATCGGTCTTAGCCGCTTGAGCTCCTAATTGTGGCTCCCCGCGACTGCACTTCTGACCCGCTTACAGGCCTAGTTGGTTGACAGGTCTCCTCTATTTTGCTATATTTATATTTTAATTTATTTTTCTTTATTTATCTAAAAAATAAGACTATAAAAATCATATAAATTTGTAAAAAATCACATAATTAGCCAAAAATTCACATTAATCAATTGAAAACCACTTTTTACACTTTAATAGAAATATAAGTCTATTTATCATGAGTTAAGGCTAAAACTATATTATTTAATAATTATTAACTTATGATAATGAAGACTTATCAATTAACTTGTGAGATTGGAAACTACTATTGGAGATGTCGACGATATGAAATCATATCATAATTATAAACAAGTATATCATCAAAGTATACACGCATGAAATGGTAGAAAAATTCACATAATATTTAGTTCATGAGTGACTTGAAGGTAGTTAAGATATTTGATGAGCTAAATGGCATGACTAAAAATTTATAATATCCATGAGGAGTGCAGAAGTTAGTCTTATGAATATCCACATCCATCATGCGAATTTGGTGATACTTATATTTCAAATTCAACTTTGAAAAACAACAACTTCATATAATTTGTCCAATAACTCATCCACAATGAGAATCAGAAAATCGTTTGGAATCATTAATCGATTAAAAGCTCAATAATCTATGTAAAATCTCCAATTGCCATCCTTATTTTTTTACCAAGAGTATAGGACTAAAATAAGAACTAGTCAAAGGTTGAAAGATCCTTTCTTGACACATTTTATTGATTTATTGCTTAACTTCTTAATTTTGGCCATATGAATCTGAGGGTACCAATAAGGTTATACATAAATGAGTGAAGTATCTAGAAGCAAGTCGATAGCATGGTTTGTGGCATGTTTGGGTGGAAGGCCATTAGAAGCAATAAATATGTGTGGAAATTAGGAGGTTAAGTATTACAAGAGCTAGAGAGAATGAGTTGGTATAACATCCAATTCATCTGATACTATCATAGAATTTGAGGCAATTTTGAGCTATCGTTATTAATAAAGACACCGTGTTAGATCACGCGGAAATCATCCTGTTTGGCTTCAGATCTGGCTGAGGAAGAACAGATGTAGCCCTAGCTGCTGAACGGAAGAGATGGGAGAGAGAAAGAGAGAAAAATCATGGAGAGAGAAAAATAGCTTCATTAATCCAAAAAGAGACAAAGTTACCTATATATATACATAATAAGTCGGATTCATCTACTGGATCTACTTATCTCCATACATGAGCAACTTACTGATATTCTCACCAAAGGATTAAGCAGACCAATCTTCCAAAGATTCATATCTAAGTTGGGATTGTATGTTATACATTCACCAGCTTGAGAGAGAATGTTGAGGAATGAAATTATAATTATATTAAAACTGTAATATTATTTGTAAATAGGTCTTATTAGTATAATATTTAGATCCCTTTGTTCACAAGTAGACCAGATCTGCTCAATTGGATTCTCTTATGTCGAAATCAGATCCGATACGCTCGTATTGAGTCAATATAAATATGTGTACCTTCACCTTTTTTTGACCTAATTTTGATTCCATTGTTTTCTTTCTCTCTCTCCTATTTCACGAGCCAACAACTCACTCCTCACAGATGGAATCTTTTTCGGAGAGCTTTGTTTAGAGAGATTCTAACAATATCTCTAACTAGATGTCTAACATAAATAAGGTTCGTAGCAAGTTTAGGAACATGTAGGACATCTTTTAGGATGCTAATAGGTTCTAATTTCACTTCTCTAATTTTAGCAACGATAATCAATAATCCATCAGTTGTTGTCACTTTTTTATTTCCTGAACAATGGTTAGATGATAAAAATGAATATGAAGAGTGGGTCATGTGATCAGTAGCACCTGTATCTAGTATCCATGATGTAAGAAAACTGTTAGATGTAACTTGTAATACTATAGAGTTAGTTTTTTAACCGGAGTATGCTGAAGAGGTGTTGGAGCTGAATATCATGGCTGACTTCAGCCTCTCAAGTTCAACTTTAACACTCTTCATTTCTTCTTTTGTATTGACCTCTGAGGACATAAACATCCTTGGAGGTTGAGAGTTGGTCGTGTTCATCGGAGCCCCTCCTTGAGGGATATCTAAATGAGTTTGACCTTCCATTTGGGAGGAGACCAAGTGAGCTTGACTGCCAACTTGGGGTCTCCCATGTAACTTGTAACACCACTCTTTAATGTGCCTCGGTCTCCTGCAATCAGTGCACCACAAATTATCTCGATAATCACCCTTTTTCATACCTTGTCCTCTATCATTTTTTGGTTGGCCCATATGTGCTGATTTTTCCTATTTTGGTTGAACCATAAATGCTGAATTATCTGTATTTTGTGGTTCTATCATAAGATTTCTCTAGCTCTCCTCATTTTTCATGATGGCAATCACCTCTATCAAGTTTGGGATTTTCCCTCTCCCTAAAATTTGAGCCATGGTTTGATCATATATATAATTCAGTCCCTTCAAAAATTGATAAATTATATCATTCTCTATATATTTTTTTGAACAAAATTTCATCCTTTTGGCACTTAGTAATAAGCGGTCTATAACGATCTATTTCCTACCATAAAGCTGTCAATTCATTAGCATATTCTCAGACTATTTTGCTACCTTGTGTCACAGCAGATGCTTGGCTGATCACTTTGTATATTTCAGCTTCACCTTCCCCTTTTGATAATACTTGTTTTATTTGCTCCCAAATATCTTTTGATGTGGGAAAAAGTAAATAGTTGACATTGACTTCTGATGTCATTGTACTCTATAGCCACGTTTTATAATCGCATCATCTTCCTTCCATTGTTTAAAACGTGATTTTTTTTGGGTTGGTCCTGGTTCAAGAAGATGATCTAGTTTCCCCCTTCATGTCAAGACCACTTCTACAAACTCACTCTACTAGAAGAGATTCCTCCCAGTATATTTAAATTCTGGTCGTATATTGGGCAGCTCTAAATAGACTTTAGAGCACTCTGATGAGGAGCTAGAAGATGGAGATGACATATCAATAATTTCAGACATATAAATGACTCACTTTGCCAACAAATGTTGTGCTCTCATCCTTTAATCAAGGTCACAAGCCCAACTAGAGGTAAGGTTGGATCACCTAAAGGAACCCTCACAGATTTAATACCCTGGGTGATATAAGGACCATTCTTTCCCCTCTATGAGTATAAAGGGGATACAAATAGGGCTTTGAATGTCTGATTTTAGTAACGGAAGGAAGCAACAAGAACAACCCATAAATTAAGGCATAATACGAACGATTTTCGGTATGTAAAGAAGAGTAGCTGCCAGGTGTAGCTAGGGTAAGGAATGAACACACCTGGTTGGCTCTGATACCATGTTATCTCACGCGAAAATCATCTCGTTTAGCTTCGGATCTGGCTGAAGAAGAACAAGCATAACCCTAGCTGCCAAACAGAAGAAACGAGAGAGAGAAAGAGAGAAAAATCATGGAGAGAGAAAAATAGCTTCATTAATCCAAAAAGAGACAAAGTTACATATATATATACATAATAAGTCTGATCTATCTACTGGATCTACTTATGCTTGAATCCTACCCATTAACACACTGGGATTGTATTGAAGCTCTTGAGCTACGGATTTAAAGGATATGTCAGACTTAGATAATTCGGATCACCCTGAAGTTTCATAATGAGGTTCTAATAATCAGACTCCACCTTACCTAACTACCATAGCCATTGCATGTCAAGAATACAATCTATGTTAGGAAGGAAATCATCCTAAATGATAAGAGCCTATAGTTAAATAGAAATACCTTTACAGAGCCCATCACTTGGAATAGATGTGCCTACGCTAATGAGGACGCCAAACTGTGGGGTAGCTAGAATAGGGATGACCATTTCTTGAATAAATTCCACTGAAATAAATTTTTTGAGTAATGCTGGAATCAATGAGGACAATGATATCCTTATGTGAGAATTTTTCATTAAGCTTCATGGTGCCCGGATTTTGAAAACCCATTATTGAGTTCATAGAAAGTTTGATTTTGTCCTCAAGTGATGCTGAAATATTGAGATTTGATGACAGAATTGGTGCAAGCTTGTCCTTGTCTTGAGGAAGAAGCTCGTTGTTCGTAAGAATAAGGATACAAAGTTCACGTTTGGATTTGTGGCTAGAAGTAAATTGTTCGTTGCAAGAAAAACATTATCTCTTAGAACGTCTTGCTTGATACTCGGCATCGATGATCTATTATGAAAGAACAAATTACGGTCCTCAGTGTGTTGAGCCATTTGCATGATCTGATGAAGATCCATATGAGTCATTGGGTAGATTTCAGCTCGAATTTCAGGATTGTGTCTCTTGAGAAAAATATCCTTGAGGACATCAAGGGATAGATCAATAACAGAGCTTGGCATAATCTCAAAATCAAGTCGATATTTGGCCACATAATTAAGCTATTGCAGATTGAAGAGTTGCTCGCGTAGATTACCTTGAGATGAAGTACCAAAACGGATGAAGAGGTAGTGGCGGAGGTTGGGCCAGTTGATGAAGGGAGCATGACACTCTGCCCAGTGAAACGAATGAAACGCTTCTTCATCGAAGCTGATATCGGCCATGATAATTTGAACAACATCGGTTTGAGGATGGAGAGAGAAGAACATCTCGGCATGATAAACCAATCTTGTGGGTTGAGTCCTATGAAAATCAGAAGTTCTAAATAGCAAGTACCCAAAGAAAAATCCGAGAGTCGATTGGAGTTGGCTTACATGGTGAGAGGTATACCTACAGTTGTGAACTCCATTTCAGGTCCTATGCGGGTTGTTGATGTTGTAACTTGAGATGCCACAGATGATGGAAGTTCCGAGCCTGACACCCGAATAGTCAACTAATGAATGGTAAGTCTGTATTTGAGAGAAAATACCTGCCGTTATAAAGAACCTTTGCTCCATGCGAGATTCGAGATCTGGAATATGGCGAAACAGTTTGCGGAGGTCTTCGAGATCTTTTTTCATAACTTTCATATGTGCACCAGGTTGTCTGGGTGCCATAGATAACGAGCGGAGTGGAGAGAGTAGCTCTGATACCAAATGGTAGGGACCTACTCCTATGATCTAGACTCAGTAGTCAAGTGACCGCGGATAATAATGTTCATAGATAAGCGGAATAACCCATCAAGAGAGAGGGAGGAAAACTTGAACGTCCGTCTGAATTAAATAATAACTAAATAGTGCTGGGTACAATAGATGATGACAAACAATGATGATACTCACTATTCTTCTCCCGTGGTCCAACGGCGAGAGAACTAAGTGTGCTTGGATGAAATAGATAACTCACAGCACTATCTAAATAGACAAGACTCGTGAATAGTAGCTAGTAAGGAAGAAATATAACTGACTCTCAAGAAGAGAGAGAGAGAGAGAGAGAGAGAGAGAGAGAGAGAGAGAACGAGAGAGAGCTGGGAGATGAGAAGTCATGGTCATCATCTTCATCATCCCCCGCGCGGGAGGAGGACGCGGTTGCGGTACTCGCCGAGTGCCCAAATGGGGAAGATGTTGCGGTACGCGGAGTAGCTGATCATGCAGTTCCTGTTGAAGACTCCGATGATCTCCTGCGCATCCAGCGGAGCAGCCAGCGAGGGTTAGTAAAGGTTCGAGCACAGCAGACCAGACCAGAGCGGCTTCTCCTACCTGCTGCGGGAAGTCGCCGTTCTCCATCTGCCCATTTATCAGCACCCTCGCAGCGCGGTGCAGCGGCGCCGGATCTCGCTGCCCCTGCCCCCGCACCGACAGACAAGCAAACAAGGAAACAGGCAAACACCGAACGCGCGTCAGTACTGCACTGCACTGTTCAGACACAAGTTCGCCGACGGGAATGGGTTTTCAGCGTGTGGTTGGGAGAGGAGGAACCTGTCCGGCGTCGATGAGAGCCAGCATTGCCCATGCCGTGTTCACCAGGTGGGATCGATCGCCCGGGAGATTCGTGTAGACCTTCGGACGCAGGCGGAGAAGAAGAGAGATAGATTCATTCATTCAAGAGGACCACTAGACTGTGGACCTTGATTCAGGAGCAAGGAAGGAGGAGCTCTTCTCTTCTTACCTTGTCCTGGGATGAAAGGTAGCTCTCTCCCCAACCCCCCGAGGGGAGCTGCTTCGACAGCAGAAAATCGCAGGCTCTGCGGATTGCGCCGGAGTTCTCGTGGGTTCGTCCGGCGGCAGTCAGCCCCTTGACGCCAAACCAGGTGCCGTAAGTGAAGCACACCCCCCAGGAGCCATACCTGCAGGAAGACTCTCCTTCACGTGAGCGCCGGCCAATAAACTTGGAGGAGCACTAAACTAGGAGGAGATCTCTCCAGCGGAGGAAGAAGCGCAGGGCGCGACCATAGAATAGAAGAAAAGGTACGACTAGGACTAGGAGTAGAAGTAGACGCAGACCATGAGCCATTCGGCTTCTGAATCTTCTCGATGAAATGAGCAGCTCTGGTGATGCAGTCGCCGATCTCTTCTCTACGGTGGCCAGGGTACAGCTTCCTAAATGCTACCAGGGACTGGATCGATGCAGAAGTGCACTCCACGTATCTGCAACGCCGCATGACCCCGGTGAGGGAAGATACGCTTTCCACGAGGACGGGAATTCTCAGGGCATCAATCCTAACAGGAAGAAGAGCCGATGCAAGAGATCCTCACGGGTAATCGATGATGATGTCGCCAAAGGTTTCGGCAGGGTTGATGACCTGAAGAACCAGCAGAACGTCAACCTTTTTCCCAGAAACAGGAAGCTACCACGAGGGACAGACACAGCAGCGGTCAAGGAGGTAGACGCAGGCTCAGGCGGGGGAGGAGGATGGTCCAATCAATCAGTTCTCACCTCCAACCAGGCATAGGATCTCGTCCGCTCATATGTTGCGAAATCGCCATCCTTGTTCTGAAGCAAAAACAAGAAGAAGGTGACAGAGAGAACAAATCACGTCAGATTGATTCCCTGAGGTGGTGCAACGGGGTTAGAGAGGGACAGGCGTGCAGAATAGCGAATCCGATAGTGATGCACGAAAAGGGCGGCGGCGATCACCATCAGCGAGAGAATAACATTGACGGCATCATACAGCCTGCGGGCATCGATTTGCTCCCCAACCAGTTGACCTGGCAGGCGTGACAGTACGAGAGCAGCCTGAAAATCAAACCAAAAAAAAAAAAAAAAACATCACGACGATGAACGGTACCATAGAACATGCATGCACTCAGTCCTGTTAAAAAAAAAAAAGAAAAAAAAAAAGAAAAAAGAAAGAAAGATGACCTTCAATCCTTCGCCTGTGCAATCAGAAATGGGCCATCCGTGATCCCTAGTTGAAAAGGGCCACGCCCCTTTTGAAATGTGGCGATACCAACGGCTAAGGTCACCGGGGCAGTCTTCAAGGACCTTCATTTGTGACGAAACAGGTCAATTAACAAAAGCCGCAGCAGTCAGCTAGAGATGCGGGCAAAACGCAAATCCACAGCATGAGCACCTGCGTGGCCTTGATGTAGTCATGCGCCTTCTTGAGGGTGTCACCATATTCTCCATATAGATTGGTGGAAATCATCGCCTGGACAGCAAAGGCGGTGTCCCAAAGTTGGCTTCCATTGTACCCCTGCAGTTACTTCAATGAGCATGAGCATGAGCAATTCACAAATGGCTATTACCTCAGATGGTGTTGCTATCAAATCAAGATTCGAGAAGGGAAGCAGTAACAATTATAATCCCCTGCAGCCTAAAGCAGGTTCGCAGCACTACTACGCAAAGAGATTTTTGGATCATTTACTGGACCTGCATCTTCATGCCATCCTCAGCAACCCACAGATAATCCTGGATCCTATGAATGTGCAACTTGAATGCCTCCGAATTTGGATCTTCCGCCCAGCAGCAGAGCATATTCAGTGGCTGTAAGGACAATGGCAACTTGAAATCACTAAAATGCTACCCAAAAATCTGGCCAAAAGTGTAGCAGTTATTTAGGCCCATGTCAACATTAAACGCGAATTGGAAAATGATTTGTTCACGTGGATTCAACTGATCCACTGAAGCATTGGACTCACATCAGCATCAACTCGAGGCACCAAACGCACCAACAAGCGAATGATGAGGAAAAAAAGCTATACTGCAAGCGCTAGGATCACATGGTATCCTGTTCCATTAAGAGAGTTAGAGAAGGAAAAGCGGTTGATTGCCTTTGTTCTCCGATACACAGAGCCGAACAAGTCAGCTCTTACCCGAATCGGGACTTAGATCGGCCAGGTACAATCTACTTCTAAGATCCAGCGTCGTTTCATTCATTAATGACTAGTTCCGGATCTGAAGCTTCGGTTTGTCGCTAAATGCAGTCACTTTCGTTCGTCAAGACAATATTTCTGATGTATAGCTATCTCAACCATTCATCAAACATACCATACATAGAGCTTGAGAAAATGGGAAGAGGGTCTGTTATGGCTACCTTGTTTACTGGCCCAATGCAAATATAACGTGTGTTCTCATCTTCATAGTGAATATGTTCCATCACAGTTTTCAAAGCCTTCTCTCTCAACAGAGTGCCGGGCCAACGCATTAGAACGGGTTCAACAGCCTTGTGGAGACACGCCCAAAGCATATCTTGTATGAGTGGATGTGGATAATAAAGATCCTCCTGCAATAAGAGGAAGAGAGAGAGAGAGAGAGAGAGCAAGCAAGAAAGAACTCATTACAAACGAGCCCTTAAAAAGTAGAATAACTTTCACTCGAAATGCCAAAGCTCGTGAGCATTAAGGTATTCATTTTTGCCGAAGTGTTGTACAGATGGAAATGCAGAACTGAAGTAAAACTTGTGGCTACAAGAAGAATTTAAACATAGGGAGCAACGGATAAAATCCGATCCTGATTGGACACCTAGTCTTGCTTTTCCTCGGGGAAATCTTTCGCTACAATCATATAAATCAAAGCCCTGCGAGGTGAGCAATCTTATTCTCAACACGAGCATAAGCGAATAGTTGCCCTGGCCATGCACCATACTAACACCAGATCTTTTAGATAGACCGACCTTTGCACACGAGTTTCGCGCCTTGCCCCAGTCCAAGTTGTCGTAAGGAACAGCATACAGCTCCTTCCTTAGTGACAACACCAATGGTGTGATTGGGCCAACAAATCTCTTCCCATATAGGTATGACATTGGCAGGTACACCATTCTGCAGTGGCACCACATCCGCCCTGTAATGTAAATAATGGGCACCAATGAGAAGGGAATTCAAAGGCATAAGGTAGCGTGGCATGGACTCTGGCTAGATCTTCCAACGATAGCATTTGCATTTTTGGTAAAAATATTTGTAGTATCCCCATCTGCCCAGCAGGGAACTTGACATCCATTTGAGAAGATAGGCCTATGCACATCATCACAGCATATATATAGCGAACATTAACCAACACAAAAGCCCGATTTGATAGGGGGGACTGCGGTCAGTAGAAGCTCAAGAGAGCCTGTCAAGAATGAATCAAATGATGTATTTACCAAAAAAAAAAATTCACGAGAAAAATGGAAAGATGCACTCCCAAATAAGGTAGAGCCCTCCAGACTCTACTATCAGACAACTCGTCAGAAGGAGAGAATGGGCTGTGTAAACATATATCTACTCCCCAAGATATCGGTCTAAACACAACGCATTGCGATCGGTAGCAGCATCATAATACAGTCCTGGAGCCTTGGAAACCATAAGATCAGGCCCGGGATGTGGACTCTGTGGTTGAGGTAATACTTGTCAAAGAAAAGGGAGCAGCGGTGCTGCAAACTTCAGATCCTATCTCAAAATGTACTCTCTTGAGCCGAAACTGAAACCGCTACTGCACTACACATCTACGCTCAATGGATCCACAGAAACTACGATGACAAAGAAATATCACAAGAGAATAGAGAAGAGCTTGGCGTAGAAACCTGGATGAACAGGAAGGAAATATGGGAGCAGCCATATCTCTGGCGTTAGAGGATTGTTACCGGACCACTCGTACACTCCCAGTACCTACACATTACGAAGGGAGCAGCATCAGAGAAGAAAGCTGCTTGAAGGCAAGCCTCCTGATCAGAGAGGACGACATTAACCACAGCGCCATACAGAAAGCCACATTTTCCCCCACGACGTGCAAGCAGTGGCGCCACCATGGTCCAAGATCCATTGCCGTCCTTTGGCTACTGCTCCTTCTCCACCGTCTGCTCCCTCACCGAGCAACCTCAGAGTAACGTAGATCAGCGTGGTACAGAACATTGTGCTATGGCCCTCGATATGCAGACCCCAACCTCCATCTTCATTCTGCAGTCATGCACAAAACGCGAGGCCAGGGTTATCATCACCATACCCTGTGCGAGTCGCATAGGAGCAGGAACGACGAAGGATGCATCAGCAGACGGGGGTCTGCATAAGACGGCAAAATGAGAAGAATTGCAGCAATCAGATGAAATATTTTCACCCACCTGGTGGTTGAAAAGATACCGCCGTATCTCAGCCTGATGTTCGGGAGAGAGGACGGTGTTTAGAGCTCCGGAGATATAAAGTGTTATGATCTGCGCCAGAAGCAAGTCAGGATAGTGACAGAGAATAACAATGTCTGAGAAAAAAGCTTGGAGCGGCGGAGGAACAGCGAATCTGCCCACCGAGCACTGAACACCGAACCAAAATGGAGCCGGCATCAGTCCGCCGTCGTGAACAATGAAAAGGACAGATCCGACTGCGACCGCCGCCTAGAACGGCACCAAAAGCGATCGATCATGCGACAGAGCATCCGGCTGATTCGGCGAACGACGGCGCTCTTACCAGGCCAGGCATGAGAAAATTTGGCCCTCCGTAGTCTCCCGGCCATTGTCCATCACTCGCTTGGATCGTAGAGTAAAAATTCAACGCTCTCCTTAATGTCGTCGTGACAACTTCTTCTCCGACGTCCTCGTTCTCCGCCACTTCCATTCGGGGAAGGATCGGTCCGAGGGGGTTCTCCCTTGCAAACTGCACTTTCGCCAATTCGAGGGTGGTGAGACGAGGAAATGGCGCTTTGACAGACAGAGGTGAACCAGATAGCGATCGATCTCCCACAGGAGTGAGGCGCGGAAGAAGAAGAGGAAGAGCAGAGGGGCTCTGCGGCGGCGTACCTGCAGTCGCATGAGGAGATCGGCGCTGTGCTTCTTCTCGAAGCGGTGGTTTCGGAACTCCTCCCGCGCACGCTCCACGTCGGCCAGCTCCTCCGGCGTCGCCTCGGGATCGAACGTCCACACCTGCCTCCCGGCATGACCGTTCAGTGTTCGCAGCCACGGGCTGTCGCCCTCCCCGCTCCTGAATCTCCACATTGGCAAGAGCAGAGCAAAGCAGGCAGCGAGAGAGAGAGAGAGAGAGAGAGAGAGAGAGAGAGAGAGGGAGGATATCCTGAGAGCTTTTGGCAATGAAATATAAAGCTACAGTGGACTACGGCTCGCAGCAGACTCAGACCGGACAAGGATGGCGGCTGCAAGTTGCCATGACGCCATTCAAGAACGAGGAGATGGAGAGGTCAGAAGATGCGACTGAGGTGACGACAAACCCCCGTTGGATCCAGATCCAGCAGTGGGGGGGAGCGGCAGAACCATTCCCGGCTCTCGGATGAGACAGACGCAGGAGAGTCGCATGAAACCTACACTCCATCGGAGCAACCAAGCAGGGCACCAATGACTTCACTCAACGATGATGATCGTAACAGTAATAAGAAGAATCATACTACTTCATGGAAGCAGAGTAGCAAAAACGATGAATCGGGCACTCGAAGGATCTTCATTTACAGCGTTCGAGGAGGAGGGGAAGGGGTACAACGCGATTCCCAGTACCTACCTCCTTGCTTCACTTCACTCACTCCCCCTGAAAATAAGAGAAATGAACTAGGAATCCGCATCTCGCCGAGAGGTTGAACCACACGGGAAGCCCTCGGGAGCCTGTCTCTCCACCAGTCACATCATCCTGCAGGGCCTCGGCAAAACAGCCCCGCCGGGGAAGAAGCTGGATCACGGACTCGCCCGACTGCATGATGATGATGATGATGAAGGCTGAGCCCTCCGCCCCCCACGCGAGAACAGGGGATGGATTGCTTGATTGACTGGACGAGGACGCCTCTCAGAACTGCAGGTTACTCAGGAACGTCACCAGGCATCTCGTGTTCTGGAACATGTTATCTATCCTCCGCCAAACCGCGCTCTGTAGTTCCAGGAGCGTCTTCGCCTTGGCCTGCAGCGCCGCGTGCCGCCTCACAGTCTCCCCGTGGATCTGTCACATGTCAGGGCAGCAAAACGTCGTCGATCAGAGAATATGGAAGGCAGCACTATCCGGCAGAACACGAGAAAACTCCGCCGTCCCCAGCCGAAACCAACCAGGGACAGCAGAGCACCGAGTGAAGTCAGAAGCGTTTTCTTCCACATTGTCAAGAAAGAATCTAATCTAATCTAATCTAACCGGGGGGAAGGCGGGCATACCTTGAGAAATAATCGTATAACAGCCTGAATAAATTCAAAGTTGTTCTTGCAGGAAATCTCATCGATGAAATAATCCAGCAACAGCGCAATAGCATGCAATTCAGTTCTCTCCTCGGGTCTCTGGATGTCTTCATCGTCTATAATTTGCAGCATCCGGAGCTCCACATCAAGAGTCGAGGGAGATAGACCCTTTAAGTAGTCTGTGAACGCCACATCTAAGCGGGAGGGGGGAAAAGGAATAAACGCAACAACAACAACAACAACAACAACAAAAAATGCATCACTCGTTAAATAAGGTAGCAGATCCACGAATATGCAGAGTTCATACTAAGCATGATAAACCAATCCCATAAGTTTTGAACCATTGTACTCGTTCTTGCTCTGGTGGCATGCATAGTTCCACACGCAAGAAAAGCTGCATTGGGCGCCAAGTATACAAGTATATAGGATGATTAGGAAACTATGAATGTACTCACGATTTCCGGCCTCTGCACAAGATTGTAATAGTTGCAAGAATTGTGATGGCAGACCGACGTCTATTTTACTCCGGACTGGTCCGTCAGCCTGACCGTCCTTTTCTTCATCCAGGGTGGCGCCATCATTTTTAAATATTATTTCCCCCGAGAGAGAAGGAGTCGAGGGCAAGAAGAAAGGCGCCTTCTCTGGCTTTTTTGGTGGCTCAATTGGCTTGTTACGCGCCTGCAAGCCATATTTAAGCAGAAAACCAAAGTAAGAGAAGAAGGCAGAACGACCGAAGCATTCAAATATAATGAAGCCAAAATGTCAAACATAACAAGATTGTAATCGTGCCCATGAGCTAAAAACTTAGAATAGATAAATCGAGGGCATTAGAGCATTATGGAAGCGTCACCCTCATTAAATCTCCAAAACTGTATCCAAAATGTACCTTTATTATATCCAATTTTGTAAGGCTCTGCCACTGGCTCCTTGGAAGCAACGAGAGAGTAACAAGGTTGGGTATCTGCACGTTAAGATTTGAAAAAATTGTGCTTTCTGGATGTAACACGCGGGTCTTAGGGTCTTCTGTTTCCTGCGTCTCAGATACATCGCTGGATGGAAAGTTGAGCATTTTGACCTCCCTTGTACTGGAATATGTGTCCATGTTGGAAGAGCCAGAGAACAATGCTTGGTTGGCCCTGTGGAAGAACAGGTGAATGAAATCCAGAATCGACCAAACTGAAGCATAGATAATAGGACTACTGAACAGGAAACAGCGCCTTCATTTACTTTGTGTACTGCTTCCCACTGACAGACCATCTTCGGATCAAGAAATTAAAAAAAAAAAAAACCGACACAATGATACAATAAAAAAGAAAACACTAGGACATCAAGTCGCTGTGAAGAAACTTTAGATATCAACTCACTTTTTTGCACATTCCCGCGACAGAAAGGAATTTGAATCTCATAGGTCAATCAATGGATCACATAAATTATACTATGAACCAAACCCACCACGATCTGAGTAGCACTTACCAAAGGTAAATACCATTTTGATCAACATGCGAAGTCACCAAGATATCCATGCAAGGGGACAGTGAGAATGCTGCGATCGATACATCAACGCTTATCGCATCTATCTGTCTGCCCAAAATGACATCCCAAACTCTAAGGCTTCCATCCATACTGGAAGATAACAGCCATTTACCATCCTCACTGAAACACAAATCAGTTATGCGATCCGTATGTCCTTCAAACTTACGAACCATCCTCAGAGTGATCACATCAAAGACACGGAGAACCATGTCAACGGCTGCAGTAGCAAGAAGACCTGGCACAGGAAACACCAAAGGTATCTCTGCATTAGACTCCAGATTACACAACTTCGAGAATACAGAAATAGCAGGAAATTTATCTACCATTTGTCCGGTGGTATACGAACTTCACAACATAATGGCCCACATCCAACCTGAACTTCAACTCACATTTTTTTAAATTCCATATCTGCTTAAGAGGAATATTAAAAAGTTAACATGAACAATTAATCTTTCAGTATACTGAGGCAAAAATTAAAAACAAAACACCTTTACATCACAAGTGGATATCAACACATGGATACTTATGAAGACGGATCCAAATCCAAAGAAGCTACTCTTAAATTTTTACTCTGAAATACCTTTACATTATTTCTTCTCCATGTCACTTACGAATTTACAGAAGCACATATTTGGCCATTATCATAGGAAAAAGAAGACACTATAACGGGATTTCAGTAGAGCGAAATAAAAATAGGGCTGATTTGAAAAATACCTTTCAGGGAGAAATAACAAAGCACATACTAGGAGAACAAAGGGTATTGAGGTGGATATTAACCTTTATGTCACCATGGTAGCCAGCGCTTATCAAACTAGAGTTTGTTGCGTCACAAGCTATTCCAACGACTTCACAAGCATGGGCACAGCTTCTACCTTCAGATGCATCCAAGTAGATGCCTCGGCTAATTCCTGATTGAAGATTGAAGCGCTCGATCCAACCATCCTCTGTTCCCAGGAATGCAAAATTGCCACATGCGCTGATTGCGCATGTCTTAACTGGTGTCTGATTGCGGGTAGATGGTGTCAAAATATGCTCCCCAAGAGCAAAGCTCTGGAGTCGCCATACATATGCCCGTGGAGTGTCCATGTGGCACGTAACAACATTGCACCAATCACGCTCACGAATTTCAGCTAGCAGTTATGCAAAGTGCAATCAGGTCAGTGCCATTACCAAATGTATACAATTTCTAGACCATGTCTAATACTTCAATGAGCACATCACAGAATACCGTCCATGATAATGCCAAAAACTATGATGTAAACGAAAAGACGAGAAAAATCACAAAAAATTAATAGAATTCCCTTGCAAAAAACACACACAAAGGATCAAACAGAAACAAAGTCGCAACATAAGTAATGTAAGGGACAAAGTGGAGTTGACAGAATGGACACAGTGGAGTTGAAGATTATAAGTCAGTTTCACGGGCTGACAGTATGGGCATCTATTATAAGTGAATGACTTACAAGAAAAACTGAGCAAAACGCTCCCATAAAGCAGATAACGATTCATAGTTATGCAGGACCACATGTGAGCAGTTTGATCAAGACACAACATGGAGTTGGTTTGTTCAGAGCCAAAAGAAATTCAGGGATGAGGAAAGAAATGCTAATTCCATATCTATAAACCTTTTCCAACATTATCAATTTATGTCAACTTACGAGCCCTGAGTTGTCTTAACTACAGCAGCCACCCTTTACAAGTAGTCTTTAAAGGCCAATACCAGTAAAACAATTCATACACACTGCTTTCTAGCGGATCTACCAATGGTCCAATCCTAACCCAAAAAGAAATTCATAAAAAAAAATTACTCTAAAATTTCCAATGAAGGTATCCATCAGTGCGCATAAACACAACGATAAGTGAGTTTCACGTTCCTGAAGGCTGAAAGAAGATTGAATTCTCATGTCCCCAGTAAGTCGATGAATAAGAATAAAAAAAACGGGGAAAAAAGGAAGGATATTTTCTAAACATAGAAAATAGACTTTAGTCCATACCAAAATCAAATGTAATAACAGGCTTCAACTTGATTTCTTCTTCCTGTATGAAAGAAACAGGTGAGAGTCAATGGTATATAGCTCCAAAAACCGTCCATTTCTAACATTACATGCAGAGAAACAATCGCTGGCATTGTTGTACCTTGACTCTAAGTTTCTTTGCTCTTTTGGCAATATGGCGCTGAGACAGTTCTCTACTCTGTTGATCCTACACAACGTCGATGCACAGTCAATATTCGACCAGGACTAATAAGTGACAGTCCACAGTCAATTTCACAGTCCACAGTCAATTTCATTAAAAAGATATGTTTAGCTAGTATAACTGAATAAAAATGAAATATCATCTGACCTGAACAACAGAAAAGAGGCGAAAAGCACGATCTTGACCAGCAGACAGTACACGTCTTCCACTCCCATAAAACCTAGCGTAATGAACCAAGAAATTCGTGATATTAAGTACATATTTCCTGAGAACAAACAACATGTGAAAGAAAGATATATCCAGATCATAAAAATAAAGCTAAAATTTGACCAAAGATTCCTAAGAAAATGAGTTCCAGTTAAACCAAAAGCACAGCACCAAATTGTACTTGTTAAAGTGATTTAAGCGAATAAGGATGTGGGTACTGTTTCATTAGCGAGGTCTAGTTTTAGTAAAGATTCAAAGGAAATTTCTGATATACAGGAGTTAGCATTTTATATTGCATCAATTTTATCTTGAACTGATTTATGTTGTGGTAATAATAAAAAAATGACGCATGTATAAAATGACAATAAAGACGACAAAAACATTCCTCTTTTGGAGCACAATCAAACAATCAATCCTCATAAGTTCTGAGATATTTTTCAAATCTGTCTTTAGAGCATCTGTCATGCTTTCAAGAAAGTATCATCGTACTATTGATTGAAAATTGTATCTCCTATTTGCTGGTCAATCTTGTGCTGTCTAAATAAGCTCTTTGATGTTAAAAAGAAGCCTGCTATAGTCTATCAAGGCACTGAAAAGGCCGAGTAAGCACATTTTGGATATGCTTGCCTAGCTAATAAAAGCATCTTTACAACGCGCAATCATCAAAACATTGTAGGTGGTGTCTAAAAGAGTTTACTAAATGTCAAAAGGCATAAACAGCATGTTCCTAAAAACAATGAAATTACGGATATAACTTCGTTTCTGACACATGCTCCCCACAGTTAACAAGTTACTTAAAAAAGGCAAGGAATCAAAAACAACTTGGCAACATACAACATGCTAACAATAAAAATCAGCAAATAAAAAATAGAAAAAAATCTAGATAGACCGCAATGTCGTCCAAATAAAATTCCGTAAGTATCCACTGGATTGCTGAAAAATATGTTTAAAGTTCGCGTGCATCATAAGTTCCGCACATGTAAACCCAGCAGCTAACGTTACAAGATAATAAAGCATCATTAGGAGCACAATAAAAAAAGCTTGTGGACAATGGATCATCTTACCTGACACACAATGGAGGTGCACTGTGGCCACTCCGGAACCGTAATAGACGGGCCTCGCCATCACTTGTATCAAAAATCCACATCTATGAACATCAAAGAGGAAATAGAAAATAAATAAAATTGCAAATATGGGTGCTCTAAATAAGGAAAAAAGATCGAAAATATCTATTTAAACATGAATTGAAACTGAATTTAATACAAGACCAGGTAGCCGGATCCATGTATTGAGAGTCTAAACTAATTCTTCAAGGTATCTATGAAAACATACATGCGGGCAGAATCAACGATTTAGGTCAGGTTCACTATTTAGAAGAATGAAATCAAATTTATAGGACAACAGAGAACAAGCAGAAACCACTAAACGAAGAGTCTGTGTAACTGAAAAGTCTAAGGTCGTCAGCTTTATCTGAAATAGTTAACTTGGTGACGCAGAAGTATTGACGAATAGGTTTGTTAACTTTACTTAGGTTAGCTGTCAGCCAAGTTAGCAGCTTATTTAAACACTACACCTGATTACCAAACTCATGTGGAAAACTCACATAATTATTCTCTAAGCGGAGAGAGGTTAATGAGCGTAAATGATCTAATTTGCCACTTCATGCTCTCAACTATGGTGCTAACTAGTGTTAGCAAGAAAAAATTGTAATTAAAATGGGCGCATCTGCTAGAAGCCACATTAAAAGATATGGACGTATCCACACTAATACAGATCCCTATCTAAAATCTTGCATCGATCCATCTAACCATAATTCGGAAATTATGTAATGTCTTTTGAAATGCAGATCCATATTAAATTTTAAACAGATTACACTCGACAACACTCAACAACTGATGTAATTTTCAAGTTTTCTATTGATAGAACAAAACATTGCGAATCAAGAACTAATCCAAAAATTTATGTACACTAAAACCAGAATCGTCACCCAATAAGATATGCATATGGTTCCTTGACAATGAAAAATAAGCACGCAAATTTTCTATCCAATTAAAGCAGAAAACAAACCACTAATGGAACTAGAAGCCTAATGTGAATGCGGTGTTACTTGATCGTTTAACAAATTTGAACTAGTAAACCAAGAAAACTGGCATCTATTGCAATACCATAAAAATAGGCAAAAGAAAATGCCCTTACTTTGATTGAGTTATCATCTCCAGAACTCATAAGAACAGGCTCGTTGGCAAAGAAATGCAAGGATATGATAGATCCATCGTGAGCTTCCTTGATGACTGAATGAAGCCTTTTCTTCTCAAGGTTCCAGATGGCTATGACACCCGATGACCCTCCTGATGCTAGAAGAGGTTCTCCATCTGATGATCAAAGGAAAAAAATATCGATTTGGAACCCATCAAAGTTGAAGTGAGCACGTAACAGGAAATATGATGATTGCAATAAATGACTCTAGAACAGGTCACATAAAAATAACGTTACGGCACAGGAAGAATTCGAGAATTCAAGCTTACTTATTTATGCTTTTGGATCAATGTGACATGGAACCACCACTACATACCCAAATGTAGTGAGTTACAAAGAGAATAACAAGCATAATTCTAACATGTAGATCACAGGGATCCGAATATTTTTTTTATGGAATTTTCATCATCAGGAGCATGTAACATATAACTCAAGACATCTGAATACAAGAAAGGTGGGAAATTTCTAAGTGTAAACTACCACTAAAAAGTAGCAAACAGTAAAAAATAATACTCGAGGTGACGGATTGCCAAACATAATTGAAAAAAAGGACCTGACTAACAAAAAAATAACAAAAATAAAATAGAAAAAAATACGAGATGGTGGACTGCCAGGAATAATTGAGAAACACCGAGAAAAAGAACAAATAGGTCACTAATGAGCCTGGTTTAGCAACAGAAAAGAAACTACTGAGTAATGAGAAGATTCATTACATTGAGCTAAGGAATAAATTGGACTCTAACGAGAAAGAATCATGCCAGAAGCACTAGACGAAGATCAAGGTATTGCAAATCACAAGAATTCCAAAAGAATACAACATCTTAAATTCAGAAAAAAAATCTAAGAATAAGCCATTCTAGTCAAGAGAGGTCGTACTGAAGGAAAACTTATAGGATGAATCTTTAAGCGCCAACCTTGTTGGAAGTTCTACTCCCCAAATACGTTTGACATCACAAAATTTCTAATATAATTTCATTAGAGCTAATAGTAGATAGGGCAGCCAGTCTGGACACATGGGTCGATCAATCTTACGATTTTATGAAGTTCGGCATTTGTACTAGCCTGATAGTATAAAGAAAAAATGCGTTTTTCAACCTCTATACCTTCTGTTATTCGAAGATTGGATAACAGCGTTGACCCCCCAGTGGCAAGTATAATACTTTAAACCCCTTATCAAGGCTTTTTAAAATGAGAGCCACTCTGCTTCCAAGCTTGCAAAGTCATGGTAATTCGTTAAGAGTTTCTAACCACTATCCGAAAGTCAATAAGCCTGTGTATACTTGAAAATTATGCTATTTAGTGATCTTGCTTTCTTCACTGGGCTTTGATAACCAGTGCAAGAATAATCGGAAATCTATCATTGAAAACCTAAAGATGTGTTACATGGCATGTGTATTATGTGAGCTAACACTTGGTACATTAGATTAAAGTAGTTGTTCAAGTTATATTAAAAATTCAGCATGATATGCTCGGTTATTTCTGGTCAAATCTTACTCGTCTCTCTTAAAACTTAAGTACATCACCTAAAATCCAATTCCAACCCCCACATTAGTTACCCACCAAGAACCTGGGACCATAAAAATAAAGATGTATATTACACTGTCCTCAAACTTTCGGTTAAATGAGATATGACTGTTTCACTTTCCGGATTATTTGACAGTAGTTCATGATCCCCTTTCATCAGCAAGCTAAAGGAAGAAAACATGATTGTTTAATTTGAGAAGGCATTAAAATAAAAAGTATTAGCAAATAGAAGGCCAAAAGGACCTCATTTTGCAATAACAATCAAAAAGATAAGATCATCATTCAAAAAATCCCTTCAGTATAGAGAAGAATAGAGTACCAGTTCTGAAAGATAAGGAAGTAACAGCCCCATGTGTAGAATGAGAGAATGAGACTATCTCTTCATCACATCTAACATTGTGAACATGGACTTTTCCATCTGAACAACCAAATGCCACGACATCCAGTGCAGGGGAGGAAACACAGCAGTGAACAGAAGAATTCCACCCTTCGAACTCAAAAAGCTTCTTCTGAGTGCTAATATTCCAAAGATGAAATGAACCTTCTTGGCTTCCAATAATGACCTATCAAATACTGCTTCCATTAGTTTTGCTTTGGAGAATATGGAAATATAATAAGGATAAGTTGCGTAACATTGAAGGAAAATATTAATCATCCATCACTAAAACATATTACAATGTCACCTTATTCAGATATGTATCTGGATGCATGATACATGTTGGTGAGAATTTTTCTTGCAGGACGATATGACTAACTGGCTGAAGATTCTGTTCAATATCTTTGAATGTCCATATAAATAGGTTGCCTTTGACATCAGTACTTAAGATGAGATCTCCGAATAAGAACAATAAATTAACTTTTTCTTTATGAGCGCTCCATGTTGCTACCTGAAAATAATAAAGGCCATTAAGGGCCCAGCCAAGAACTGAAAAATAGTCCATTCCAGAAAAGCATTTACAATGAAAAATTAAAATAACCAAATGCTACGCAACAATCACATTAAAAATATGCACAACTGGCCGTCTATAGATGTCATAGTCAGCTACCTTACTGTGCGTGCATTCCATCTACATAAATGACTCAAAAAAACTAAAACAACTCTATCACAAGGAGGTTCCCGAAAGCAATCTTGGATGAGTATCAGTAGAATGTTAATGAAACAAGTAAAATCCAGAAGGTGGTGCCAAATATGAACAAATACTCCAAAAAGGAGTAATTCCAGTATGCGCTCAAAACCCTTCGAAAATCAAGACACGATTTACCCATTAAGAAGTAACAATGGAAACATCCAATCACCAAAGCACAAAGGTATCTTACTAACCTGATGAGCACGTCTGCAAACCGCAATATCAGTTCCAAATGCAGCAAAAGTGAAATCCCCAGAACATGCAAGAGATCGGATCTTCTTTGGAAATTGAGGTCCTACATTTCAATATTTGTGGCATACCAATATTTAGGGATGATCGACTAAATCCAGTTATACCAATGTAATAGAAAAGGCAACCAAGATAAAAGAAGAATGAAATATTCGGTCAATTATAAAAATGGAGTGAACATAAAAACACCGATTAATTTCAATTCTTCGGAAAAATCTATCTTAGTCAAGACATTCGCCTCACTATTCTGATTGGATGAAACCCATAAAAAATCCTTCAATATCATGTGTGGAAAGGCCTTGCTCTCAACCACTGCTAGAGTCATCCTGATTCAATATCTGAATTTCCAGAAAGGACGACGTTAAACCGGATAAATGGAAGGAGGCAAAAGAGAACGATGCACGTTAAAATCAATCTGCTTCATCCATTTGTACCATCACGTCTGACTCCGTGAATACGGCGGCTACTAAATATAATCTTCAAAACATAAGAATAAAATACAACACTCATTTGCAATTAAATACAGGAAAAATACCAACAAAACAACACAGTTTTGTGCACGGTGGAGGACGAAAACTCACCAACAAGCACCAGAGTCAACTTCGCACACTGCACGAGAGAAAAAAAAACTGAGAAGGAGGATCCTCGCAGGTGGTCGAAATTTCAGAAATACAAACTTCAACCCGCTGATCGTGGAAAACACCGAACAGCTCATATGACAAAGCACAACATGCTTACGTCATAAATCTGCCACGCCTTCCCGACGCTGACTGTGACAAACGTCTCAGTTCCTCGCCTCTGGACCGAGAACGGCACCCCTGCGGTGATGTAGCCGAGAGCACGATAAGGCTCGAAGATACCCATCTCCCTCTGCTTCTTCCGAAAGAAACAAAGGCGACAGACACCAGGGCCACAGCCGACGAACTATTTCGGGTTCCCCGACATGGCACTGAAACGATGAGAGGGGGAGGAGAAGAATCGAATGAAGAACACTGTCAGGGGTTTAGCCGGGGCTTGGCGGAAAAGCAGGGCAGAACGGGAGAGAGTAGGGTTTTTGGAGAGACGGGCGAGCGGGCAGGGGGCATGGCAATTTGTGGATTTCCCATTCTGCCCACACCCAAGGGGAGAGGGCATTTATGTAAATTAAGAAAACATAAGGGGGAAGGCTAAATACGTTAGGATTAAAACCGCATATCGGGTGGTAAATACAGATACGAGGGCCAAGGGGGAGGGGGGGGCTTTTGGTTGGGAAGGTCGGGCCGGATAATCCGAATTTGTTTTTTTAGGGGAGTAAATATTTTCGGATTTTTTCTGAAATATTGAAAAAGGCGTATGGCTCCTCAGTACGAAGAAAACCTTCATTTTGAGCCGGGCCATCGTCGGCATCCCCTCCGGCGCCGGCGGATCGTCCGGCTCCGAGGAAGCCAGAGAAGAGGAGGAACTCGGCCGGAGAGCAGGGAACGCACCTCAGCAACATGTGATCCCCGTCGCCGTCGCTGTCCCCGCCGTTCCTCAGCGACATCCCGTGACGGAGGAAGAAACCCGGCCGCTCGAGGCTCGTTCGGCCGGCGGGGTTCTCCTTCGCCCAGCTGTGCGGTCTCCGATGGTCTGCAAGCCTCTAAATTCTACGATTGCGACCACTGCGCACGCCTCAACCCCATCCTCACCCTCCTCGAACCTTAACAGGCAGCCTCTCTGCGGGATTTAAGGATCGAGCGAGAGAGAGAGAGAGGGTGGGTGGCCTGGCAATGGATCCGATGGCGCAGGGTGGGCATGGTCGAGAAGCCGGCGCCGATCTGGAGAATGGCGGCGACGGCAGCGGAGGGGAGAGGGCTCTGGAGGCGACAACCGCTACCCCGTTGCTGCTGAACCCGACCTACTCGCGCTCCAAGTCGATAGTCTCGGACGAGCTGCGCAACATCAGGATCAGCCTGAAATGGTGCGGGCTGGACCACTCTTCCTTCTCCGGGAAGGTGGTCTCCTACGTCGCCTTCGCGGTGCTGGGTCTCGCCCTCCCCCTCGCCACTTATCTGGCCGTGCAGGACCCGGAGTCGACAGCCATCACCTCCGCCAACAAGCTGGTGCAGCTGCCGGAGACGGCCCTCGCGGCCATCTCCTTCTTCACCCTCTCCGGCTTCTTCCAGCGCCAGGGGCTGCGGCAGCTCCTCCTCCTGGACGGCCTCCGGGAGGACTCGGTCTACGTGAGGCGCAGGTACAACCACGAGCTCGACAGGGCCTCCAAGTACCTGGCCTTCATCCTCCTCCCCTCCCTCTCCGTCGAGGTGGTCCACAAGGTCCTCTTCTTCTCCACCGTCTCGGCATCGGCGCCGTACCTGCCGGGGGAGCTCCCGTGGAACACGCTGTGTTTCCTCTCCACCGTGGCGTCCTGGGTCTACCGCACCGGCGTTTTCCTGCTGGTCTGCGTGCTGTTCCGGCTGACCTGCGAGCTGCAGATCCTGAGGTTCGAGGGCTTCCGGAAGCTGCTGGAGGGATGCGAGTCCGACGCCGGCGACATCTTCAGGGAGCACAACCGTATAAGGAGGCAGCTGCTGGTGACCAGCCACAGGTACAGGATCTTCATCATCGGTTGCTTCGTCACCATCACCGTCAGCCAGCTGGGGGCTCTCCTGCTCGTGCTCTCCTCCAGGTTTGAGAGCAATTTCGTCAACTCCGGCGATCTCCTGGTAAGCAAGCCGCCCCGCCGAGCGATCTCCTTCCTTGATCGAATCCGTATGGCTGCCTTACCTTGCTGAGCGAGGAGATGTTGCGTTGTCGGGGGGCAGGTGTGTTCGGTCGTGCAGCTGAGCGGGCTCCTCATGTGCTTGCTGGGCGCCGCGAAGATCACGCACAGGGCGCAGAGGACGGTCGCTGTCGCCGCGCGCTGGCACGTTCTCATGACCTACCCGTCGAACTCCGGGCTCACGGCCGCGCCGGCGAAGAGCGTGCCGCCGACGGCGGGCCAGTACGACGCCGCCGCCGCGGAAGTCCGCAAGGCCCTAGGTAATAACACCGCCGCCAAGACCACCACCACCACCACCGCATAAGCAGCATCACCACCGAAATACCTACAATCTCTAATCTGGGCGTGTGGTTGATTCTTGATGCTTTGATTGCATGGAACTCCGGGGGGCGGCGGCGGCGGTGCAGTGGTGTACCTGGAGCACAACAGCCGAGGGATCACGGTGTTCGGATTCGCCCTCGACCGGGGGCTGCTCCACACGCTCTTCGCCTTCGAGATGTCCCTCGTCCTCTGGATCCTCAGCAAGGTCGTCGTTCTCTCCTGAGTTGACTCAGCAAGGAACTTCACCGACTACTACTACTATTTCACTTACTACCAACTGCGGATGGATCGATAGTTCGATGCATGGTCTCTCGGTTTATTCCTTCCTAATCGTCATCAGTATCAGTAGTAGTAGTTGTAGTAGTATTGTTCTTATTGTTGCCTTTGGTATCCGTATCACTATTATTATTATTATTATTATTATTAACATTATAACTCTTTTGTATTTATTTTAAATACCATAATAATAACATAATAATAGCATTATTATTACTATTATTTCTGCCGTCGGTATTGGTAATATTGTCTATCGATGGAATGTGAGCCTCCTCTCGTGGAGCGAACAGCAGCCGTTTATAAAATTCATTTAATTTCTAAAACTGCGTGAAATGCATTTAATAATCGATATTATATATATATATATATATATATATATATATATATAGATATATGTTATTTGTGTTTCACGCGGATCCGGCTCGATCCGGGTCGGGTTGCGGGCGGCGTTCCGAGGATCTGCCGCTGGCCTCATTCTGTCCTGGGTCGAGGTCGGGAGGCGCCGAGAAACAGTGGACGAAGAGGGGGTCTGTGTTGGGTGTGGGGTGGGTTCCTCTCGCCAAGCCATCCATTATTCGTGGGAGAAGGAAGTAGTGTGAGTGGAGGAGTCGTATGGGCGGCGGCGGCGAAGTCATGGCGGCGGCGGCATCGTGCCCGCAGGTCGTCCCCTTTCGGGGCCCCCGATCAGGGCCTCCTCCGCGCGTGGCTGCGGCGCGGGCTCTCGGCCTCGGCCTCCCCCGCAAACCCAATCAGGGACCTCCTGATTGGCCGCGCTTCCTCTCCCTCCGGGCGGCGGGGACTTCTTCTGCTCGCCGATTCCTCTTCCTTGCGGTGCCTCCCCGCGCGTCGGCCGAGGAGGAGGGAGGCGACGGCAGCAGCGACACGGCGGCGGCGGCGGCTGAGGAGGAGAAGAAGACGGCGGCGGAGGAGAACACGGAGGCGACGGAGGCGGCGGAGGCGACGGCGAGGAAGATTCTGGAGGAGCGGCGGCGGAGGGAGGAGGAAGGAGGAGCAGGGGGGGGCCTGTGGGGGGGCGTGGCGGAGGAGGTGAGGGAGATCGAGTGGCCAGTCTTCGGGAGGGTTCTCGGGACGACGGGGGTGGTGCTGGCGGTCATCGGCGGCTCCAGCGTCGCCCTCCTCACCGTCAACGCCCTTCTCGCCGAGCTCTCCGACCGCCTCTTCGCCGGCCGTGGCGTCCAAGATTTCTTCGGATAACCCCACCCCCACCCCCCGTGTTATCTCCTCTCTCTCTCTCTCTCTCTCTCTCTCTCTCGCTACTTGTTGCTCTCTGATGCGATGGACACAAATGCCAGAATAATTATTTTCAGCCTCCGGATCGCGCGTCATTCAAGATGTTAACACAGAGAGAGAGAGAGAGAGAGAGAGAGAGAGAGAGAGAGAATGAGTTCTGAGAATGATTTTCTAGAAACCCGGGTGTAAAAATAAGATTCTCTTATTAGTCGAGACTCTTTTATTTCTCTTGGTTTTATCGATACTCTTTTTTACCACGGGGACGGGATCGGGATCGGGATCGGGATCGGCCGATTCTTCGTGCCGAAGTCCCGATGCGCCAGTGGACGGCCCAGATTAGGGGTACCTGTATCCAACGGTTTGTGACAGTACCAATATGATACCGGCCCACCCGCCCTAACTTCTCCTCTCCTCCCCCTAGCACTCTCTCACTTTCTCTCTCTGCGCGTCACTCAGTTGCTAGGGTTTTCTGGCCGGCGGGTTGCGGCGGCCGACTTCGCCTCGGAAGAACACTACCGCCTCCCATCATGGTTTGTTTTTCCTGCTCCTGCTCTGTCTCTGGCCCCCGTTTCCTTCATCACCTCCGCGCTGTTTATCTTGTCGGCTGAATCGAGCTCGGAAAGCTAGTTTGGATGTCAGTTTTTTCCAATGTTCCGGGACTATATGGCGTTCGCCTCTCATCCATGCTATTTCGATCTCTTCCGAGAACCGATACGTTCGGACGTTATTCTTCTACTGATCATTGAACATCTTGTCGCGGCATTAATTGGCATAACCCTGAAACTACGCGTTAGTGCGATGATTTTTATTTTCTTACTATGGCGAAATCAATCAGGTAGGTTTTATCGCGTGGCAGAAAAATGGACCGTTGTATTCACTTTTGTTTTTAGGCTTACACCCCTCGGTGTCTCCTGAGCCTTTCTGTTGGACGGTTTGAACAATCGCACATTGCCATAATCAACCCACTCGTGAAGTTGCGCTTGAAGAGGTTTCGTGGGATTTTCCTAATTATCATTGAGGTTTTATGTGCTTCTTTCACAAAGTGCGATCCGCCACGGAAGAGTCGACAGGGGAGGGGTTCGCAAGGATCACCCATTTCTCTCAGTACCCACCGATAGAAATTATCTCGTCAAGTTATATTGCTCATTGCCTTCGTTTTTTTTGGCTCTGCGGGTAGATCGAAGGAATATCTCGAATATTAACTGCTATGAGGCCCCCTACTGAATTGTTTCTGTGTCAACTTCAGGCTCGTGGGCTGAAGAAACATCTGAAGCGACTCAATGCCCCCAGGCATTGGATGCTCGACAAACTGGGCGGTGCTTTCGTGAGTTCAAATCATCTTCCTTCTGTCGCTTGTCTCCATGATTTTGCCACTTTCATATAACAAATCCATTATTGGCGATAAATTTCAGGCGCCGAAACCCTCCTCTGGGCCCCACAAAGCTCGGGAATGCCTCCCGTTGATTCTTATTCTCAGGAACAAGCTTAAGTATGCCCTTACCTATCGTGATGTCGTTGCAATTCTGATGCAAAGGCAGGTGTTGGTCGACGGAAAAGTCAGGACAGACAAGACATACCCCGCTGGTTTCATGGGTATGAGAATTGATTGGGCGGCCCTTATCTTTCCTTCTAGAGTTGGAAGGCGCGTCCATATGGCGCCGTCAAAGTGCTCATCTGACATGGTGTCGATTCCTTCTTCGGTGCAGATGTTGTCTCGATTCCAAAGACAAACGAGAACTTCAGACTTCTGTATGACACCAAGGGACGTTTCCGTCTCCACCGCGTAAAAGACGAGGAGGCAAAGGTAAGTGTTTGGATTCCTATTACGTGATTCATAGAGATAGCCATCTGTTCAATTCCAAGCATTTTTTGGGCCTTTGCATACTTGTGACCACCTTCTGTGTCTCGGCTTTTGTTCTGTGGGTGTTTCTCTGCGATTAAGAAATATGATGATTTTGAAGTGTTTCGATTGCATCCGGGTTCTGGCCCCAAATCCATTCATAATATTTGATGTGATGCTGTACTATGTTTAGGAAATTGATGAGGTTAAGGTCTTGCACTTAAACACCCGAGAACAAGCTGCTTCGAGTTCTCTAATGAATGTTGCCTCGGGCTGATTGCAATATGGTCTTGCAAATTGTGCAGTTCAAGCTCTGCAAAGTCCGTTCTGTCCAGTTTGGGGACAAGGGGATCCCATACCTCAACACGTACGACGGTCGCACCATCCGGTACCCAGATCCCCTGATCAAGGCGAATGACACCATCAAGCTCGATCTGGAGGACAACAAGATCGTGGATTTCATCAAGTTTGATGTGGGCAATGTGGTGATGGTGACGGGTGGCAGGAACACTGGACGTGTTGGTCTGATCAAGAACCGAGAGAAGCACAAGGGCAGCTTCGAAACAGTCCACATCCAGGACGCCGCCGGCCACGAGTTTGCCACCCGGCTCGGCAACGTCTTCACCATCGGCAAGGGGTCGAAGGCGTGGGTGTCCCTTCCCAAAGGCAAGGGTATCAAGCAGTCCATCATTGAGGAAGCGAGAAAGCGCGCTGCCGCCTCCGCCGCTGCCGCCACAGCCTAGGCCGACACCCTCAGTATGGGTCTCGCCCTGTTGGGCGGACTGGGTCTCTTGAGTAGAGAAAGTTTTGTTTCCTGTTTTTTTTTTTTGGCACAGGCGGAGAAGAGCCCGGGACGAGAGGTGTCTGTGAATTGAATCAGCTTCTGCCGTGTACTGCCCCCCTTTTTTCTCGTCTGATGTTTTGTTCGTTCGTTATTTTGTTTCTCTAGCTATTTAAAGTTAGTCGGCCAGCTCCTTCACATATACATATTTGCGCTGCTGCATCTTCGGTCCGGTGAGGTCAGGTGTGTTCTATTCCTGTCCATGGGATCTGTCTCAGCTTCAGGGCGGGGCTCGTCTCCGGGTTCGCGCCGCATGTGACGGGGAGGAGCGGAAATGGAGGGGGAAACCAGAGAGGAAGGCAGCCTGTAGGGAATGGACCATCTGTCGGCGGTTGTCGGCGCTCCCCACGTGAGTGAGAGGGAAGAGATGGGCGCCTGATTTAGCTACCCCTCGGTGTCCGCTTCTTATTCTTATTGAGCTCTCCCGGGGCCGTCTTCTTCTCCGTCGCGGGTGGGGGGCTCTGCGTTGATTGGATTGGAATTTTGGAGGAAGGATAGGGAGAGGATGTGGAGGACGGCGCCGCCAAGGGGGAAGAGGGGATACGGGCCCTTCCGGGCGGAGGGCGGCACGTCGGCGGAGCTGCGGCAGCCGCTGGTAGCGGTGGCCGTCGACAGGGACAAGCCCAGCCAGAGCGCCCTCAAGTGGGCCCTCGACAACATCGTCCCCCGCGGACAGACCGTCATGCTCGTTCATGTCGCCTCCAAATTCGCTTCGCCTACCGTCTCCTCTCCTCCCCGTTCTCTATCAGGCACTCTCTCTCTCTCTCTCGCTCTCTCTTTCTCCCTCTCTTTTTCTCTCTCTCACACGCACCTTTTCAATGGTCGTCGTCGTTTTGCAGAGGACTGTGGCGATCTCCGTGCGAAGGACATCTTCCTCCCCTTCCGGTGCTTCTGCGCGAAGAAAGACGTGAGCGACGCCGCACCTCTGCGATCATGTCGCGGTCTACGTTGACGTTCATTTCGGGAGACGTGCGAAGGACATCTGACGTTGTTGATGAGCTAACTAAAAATTTCTTGGCCTCGGGACGCAGGTGCGGTGCAAGGACGTGCTGCTGGACGACAACGACGTGGCGAAGGCCATCACAGAGTTCCTCGCGCGGTCTGCGGTCGAGAAGTTGGTCATCGGCCTCCCTTCCCGGAATTCCTTCGTCAGGTGCTCCTCTGAGCTTTCTGTCTCCTTCCTCCCGTCGGATTTCATGGAGACCTTCGTCGTCCCTCCGCTAAAGCCGTCTGGCTATTCCGGCAGACGGTTCAACCCGACGGAGCGAGACATTCCCACCGCCATTTGCAGAGGAGCCCCAGACTTCTGCACCGTCTACGTCGTCGGCAGAGGGAAGGTGGCCTCGCTGCGGAAGGCCGTCCGACCAGCTCCGATCATGTGCCCTCTCCACCCGCTGGACAATCTCCTCGACACGAAGGGACATTTCAAGTGAGTTCTACCGCTGCGAACCCTCGTCCATCTGAGGATCCTTCTGCTTCTCATCTGTTGTAATGAGAGGAAACACATGATCGTCAACCAGGTCTTCGTTGCCCAGAGGGCCGAGAGGTCTGCTCGCAAAGGCGTCCGGCGATCGGAGGTCGCCGGAGACGAGGATGTCCTTTGGCAGCCCCGGCAGGCTCAGCGTGGAGGACAGTTCTCCGCCTTCGCCACTCTACGATCGCCATCTCGATATCGACCCTTCTTCTTCGAGGCTCTCCATTGCCTCGGATGGCTTCGACCTGCTCCTGGGCACATCTCACCGAAGGACAAGGGACGAAAGCTTCGATTTCTCTGCGCTCTCTCAGGAGAGCGCCAGGTCGTCCTGGTCGTCTCAGGTGACGACGGAGAGCCCACAAATCCATACATTAGATTGCCGATAAACTGGTTGACAATCAGTCTCCGTGGGCAACCCAGATGGATCAATAATGCATGCACGTTTCGCGTGTTGCAGGAGGAGGTAGAGATGGAGATGAGGAGGTTGAGGCAGGAGCTCAAGCAAACCATAGACATGTACAGCACAGCCCGCCAGGAGGCACTGAGCGCCAAGCAGATGGTAGAGGAATTGAAGAAAATGTTGTGCGAGAAGAAACTGAAGTTTGCTTCCCACCGGAGGAGGCTAATCGAAAATCTACCCTACCGTTTGCAGGCCAGAGAGCTCCGTCTTTGGAAGAAGGAAGAGGAGCAGAGACTGGAGAATGCCCGTGCAGCCGAGGCGGCGGCGCTGACCATGGTGGAGAAGGAGAAGGCCAAGTCCAAGGCGGCGGCGGAGGCTGCGGAAACGGCGCGGAAGATGGCGGAGATGGAAGCTCGGAGGAGGAGACACGCCGAGATGGCTGCGTCCAAGGAAGCGGAGGAGAGGACTAAAGCCCTGGTGTCGCTGGCAGAGAGCGACACGAGATACAGGAGGTACAGCATAGAGGAGATCGAAGCGGCGACGGACTTATTCGCGGAGAACCGCAAGATTGGAGAAGGAGGGTACGGCCCGGTGTTCAGGGGATCCCTGGATCACACGCCGGTCGCCATCAAGATCCTCCGTCCCAACGCCGCCCAGGGGAGATCCCAGTTCCAGCGGGAGGTGAACTAACAATCCAAGTTCCCTCCTTTTGACGCTCTGATCTCCACAGCCATCATCATCATCATCGTCATCATCATCTTCCTATCTCTGGAACTTGCAGATCGAAGTGCTGAGCTGCATTAGGCACCCCAACATGGTCCTCCTCCTGGGAGCCTGCCCCGAGTACGGCTGCCTGGTGTACGAGTACATGGAGCAGGGCAGCCTGGAGGATCGCCTGTTCCAGAGGGAGGGCACCCCCGCTCTCCCATGGGAGCTCCGGTTCAAGATCGCCGCCGAGATCGGTACCGGGCTCCTCTTCCTCCACCAGACCCGACCGGAGCCGGTGGTCCACCGGGACCTCAAGCCCGGCAACATCCTCCTCGACGGCAACTTCGTCAGCAAGATCGCCGACGTGGGACTCGCCCGCCTGTTGCCCGCCACCGACAATGTCACGCAGTGCCGCATCACCTCCACCGCGGGGACCTTCTGCTACATCGACCCCGAGTACCAGAAGACGGGCATGTTGGGGACCAAGTCCGACATCTATTCCTTCGGAGTCATCCTGCTGCAGCTGATCACCGGACAGCCGCCGATCGGCTTGGCCCACCGCGTGGAGCGCGCCATCGAGGAGGGCGCCTTCGAGGGCATGCTGGACCCGGCGGTGCACGACTGGCCGTTGAAGGAAGCTCTGAGTTTGGCGAAGATGGCGGTGAAATGCGCGGAGCTGAGGCGGAAGGACCGCCCCGACCTCAGCACGGTCCTTCTGCCAGAGCTGAACCGGCTGAGAGCGATGGCCGAGGAGAGCCTGCACCGCGGGGTTCTGGGCCGCGCAGACTTGCCGGATGACGACACCCAGACTTCCATCTGCAACGTAAGCCGAGAAGACCCTCCGATCCTCCTCACTCCTCCTCCATCTTGGAACTCTCCGGACACGATATTCACGAGATTTCCTGAGAACGGATCGGATCGTTCATTCGTTCGATTGTTCGAAATGATTGCAGGAGACCATGAGCGACCACCAGGTGCAGTCGTCGTGCGAGAGCTCGAAGAGCAAGTCCAGTGGGCCGTAAGGTCAGGGGACAAGCGGCGGCGCCGGAGAGGTTGGAAGCCCAGACCCCTTCCCACTCGGGGGGTGATGATGGACGATGCCCCTCCCGTGTGCGCCCTCGAAAAGCTCTCCTTGTATATTTGTACATATTACAGTTCATCAATGCAGAAGATACTCATCCCCACATCCTCCAAGAAGCTCCATGGGGATCCCTTCTAAGATTCATACGTGTTAGAAATGAACTTGAAATAGCCGCTGCGGCCGCTATGCATGGAGATCCCAGCATTGAGCGTTGGCGCCTGCTTGCAAGCAGTAGCCCGGGTTGGTCCTGTCACCCTCTTTACCGCCATCAGGATCGACTAGCCCCGCTGGAGGAAATATAAGATGTATAGCATAACAAAGTATGTCTCTCAACTACGAAAAGTGCAAGATATTTGCTTCTTCTTTCTCTTTTTTATCTTTTTTATGGGGCAGCTCTCACTATATATCCGTGAAGGCAAATTGCCGATTAATTAGCTATGTGCAAGAAGGCTGCCCCATAAATCCGATGAGTGCCGCATTATCCAGAGTGAGAGTCAACGGAAAACTCAAGAAACCGAGTCTAACAGATCAGGGAGTCGGGATAAATGAATCAATGAAAGTGTAAACATTGATCAACTAGGCTCTCATGCAGTTGATCCTGTTGTATGGGAAAATAAATAGTCAAAGTGTGAAGAGGTAATGTCAACTTGTTGTAACATTATAAGAGGCAGGTGAATTCTGACGATATCCAAGGCGAAAGATTGATTGTAAATGGAGGCAAAAATGGAACAAGGTCAAAGAAAAGAACAAAGTCCATCAGGAGTAAAATATCAGAATCTAAATTAAAATCTAGAGCTAACTTATTTTAAAACTAAGAATGCCACAAATGTCATGAAAAGTGGCACTTGAAGAAAGATTGACTCACTAGAAATCCAGAGAAAAATACTAAAAGTAACTTTTTAGATTTAAGGAATGCTCTAAAAAGAGAGAAAATAACAGTGGTGAGATAATTTTTTTAACTATAATGAATGAATTAATACATTTTTGAAATCTTGATATGGGAACACCATATGTTTCATAATAATGACTAGTTTGACACATATAAAGTGATGTATATTGTGTTGTTATGGGTAATGATTCTTCATGTAAAGTCATTGAAATTAACAACATCAAAAATAGATGGTGACAACTTTAAGGAATGTAAAACATGTCTCTAATCTCAAGAGAAATATAGTTTCCTTGTAAACATTATAGTTAAATTATTTCCTTATAAATGTGAAAATTAAATCTTAAAATTTTGTCATAAATCACATTTTCAGAATTTAAATCTTGCAATGATCAGGACATGAAGATGTGATTCTAATAAATATGTCAAAGAGAAATATAGAATCAATGTGTAATTTAAAATACTGAAGTAAATAAATAGAAACTAAAAATTTAAAATTCTAACTTATGAAAGAACTGTAAATACAAATAAAATGAGCCCAATATTTTTTATTTTTTTTGAAATACTATTTAATAAAAATAATGAGATAATAAAAGTTATAATACTACTTTTTTTAAATCATTGAAAATTTAAAACTAAATCAATTAACACCGATTAAAAACAAATCTCTCCGACAATGGTGCCAAAAAGATAATGTGCACTTGTCATTGTATTTAAATGCCCATTATTGAATAATATTTATAATTAAGACTTAATATCTACTAGTATAGATATAAGTTTTTGGTCAAATATGAAGAAATTGATTAATTCATCGTGAAAACTAATTTAGTTTTTATATAGAGTGATTTTAATATTTTATCACTATTTAACAGAACTAAAAGAATGAAAGGGTGAGGTGAGAATAATAAAAGAAAGAAAATAAAGAAAGGAAGGAGGGAAAAAAGAGATATCACGAAAGAGAGAGAAAGAGAGAGAAAGGGAGAGAAGGAGAGAAATCTCACGTGAGACAGAAAGAGAGAAATGCCTCACAAGAGAGAGAGATCAATCGAGAGTGAGGGAGATCAATCGATCGAGAGAGGGAGATGTAAGAAGAGAAAACTCATGTGAGAGGAAGAGAGATAAATATCTCACGAGAGAGAGAGAAAGAGAGAGATCAATCAATTGATCAAGAGAGAGACAGAGATAGAGATATCACAAGAGATAGAGAGAGAAGAATATATCTTATGTGAGAGGGAGAGAGAGAAATAAGATGATAATTAAGAAAGAGAGAAACACGATCAAGCCGTTTACACAATGACCATGATTCTTAGATGAATGTGTGCTCAAGAATTCACACATGTGGGTTGACATGAGAGAGAAAAAAATTAAAATCTATATAGTCTCAAAAGATAAAATATATAACTCTTATATAGGAGAGAGGAGAGATGAGAGAGAGAGAGAGATAATAGGTTTGGGTGGGTTGAAAATCCGATATTACTATTGAACACTCTCCCTCAAGTTAAAGCATATAAGTTAAATATGTTTAACTTGTTACACATGGCGTCGTAAGAGATGCCGATTAAACTCTTCGTGAAGACATCAACAAGCTGATGAGATGATGTCATATGAAGAGTAGAGATAAATTCAGACATAACCTTATTTCAAATGTAGTGACAATCAATCTTAATGTACTTTGTACGCTCATAAAAGGTGAAATTGCCAACAATGAAGATGACAATTTGATTGTCGCAATACATAGGCATTGGAGATGGAGAAACAATATTAAGATCGTCGAGAAGTGATCGAAGCCATATCATTTTTATTGTCTCAATCATGACTTAATACTTAAATTTTGCATGAGAGTAGGATACTATCCTCTATTTTCGAGACCGTCATGTGACTAAGTTATCACTGACGTATATGTAATAACTCGTAGTAGACTTTTGATTGCCCTTGTCACTTGCATACCCAACGTCAAAGTAGACTACAATACAAAAATAGTCGTGTTGTCGATTGATGAGCTATTTTCTTGGAGATCAAAGGAGTCCACATGTTTGGTTCACCAAGTTTAGTGGTTTACTCACCACCTTTAGCATCGTCTCCTGTACTGTGAACTCCACCATACTCACAAAGAAGACAGAAGGCAGTCTTATCATCCTTGTAATCTATGTCGACGATATTCTTGTGATTGGAAATGATGAGGCTGACATCTCTACTACCAAAGCTTACTTACAGCAACACCTAAACATTCGTGACTTGGGGACTCTACGATATTTTCTTGGGATTGAGTTTGGGTATCATGACTCAATGACTCCCCTTGAACACCTAGGAGGTTGCTCCATAAAGACATGCTCTGTGAGATCATCGTAGAGAAAGATGTTAAAAATATCTAATTGGTAGAGAGACAATGCTTGATTGACGACGAGAGAGAGGAGCACGTGGACAGAGTTGAGCAAGAGAGAACGTCTCAATGTAGTCAATCTCATATGCATGTGTGAAGCCCCGAGTAACCAAACAAGCTTTGTGACGAGGGATGGAGCCATTTGGGTGCTATTTGATGGTAAACAGCCACTTACATGTCACAATGTTGACATCAGACAGGCGCGGAACAAAATTTAAAGTTCTCCAAGTGACCAACGCAACTACCTTTGAATCCATGGCCACCTTCCACATAGGTACCTATGCAATCTCAACATACGATCGTGGAAACGACTCGCAGGCTACAGAGAGGGTAAAGGCATGAAAGGAAGGAGAAAAACGATCATAAGAGACAAACTAGGAGAAGAGATAGTGGGTGCAAGTGTGTGTACCTTTGTGGAGGGCAATAGAGAGATGAAGGTCATTAGGTGGAGTAGTGACAAAATGTGTAGAGGGGATCATAAGAGAGGAAGAGGAAGAGCCATGGGCCAAAGAGAAGTGGGCGCGGGTAACAACTCTAAAGAGAGTGGACAGAAGGGAAGAGAATAGGGAGGGCTCGTAAGAACCACCAAGGGAGGAAACCTAGGTAGAGGAGACGTAACAGCCCCAAGAGGAGGAGTTAAAACAAGAGAGAAGAAATGAGACTCCTCATAGAAAATGACATCAGTTGAGGTCACATAACAACGAATATCTAGGAAGTAGACTCGATAACCTTTTGACGTGCAAGAGTAGTCGACAAAAACCCCTTTAAAGACACAAGGGGCGGGTTTAGAAAGAGATAGAAGAATCTTGAACGAACGTGGTGCATCTAAAGACCCGAGGAGGAAGAGAAAAAAGAGGAGAATCAAAAATTAAGTGATGGAGAGGAATGATCCCCTCAAGAGGAGCAGAGGGAAGTTGATTCTAGAGGTAAGTGGTAGTTAGAAGGGTGTCAGCCTAAAGATAGTGGGGGACATTCATCTTAAAAATAAGTGTGCGAGTGATGTCAAGGAGTTGATGATGTTTATGCTTGGCAACACCATTCTACTACAAAGTGTGAGGATATGTGGTCTAGTGGAGGATGCCACGATCATTGCAGAAGGTACAAAAAGTTGTTTGAACAAACTCAAGAGTATTATTAGCACAAAGAATCTTGGGTGTAGTTGTGTATTAGGTGATAATTTTGGTGATGAAGTAGATAATCATGGTGATGACCTCAAAGCGGTTGTGGAGGAGGTAGACCCAACTAACACGAGTATAGTCATCAACGAAAATGATGTAATAGTGATGGCCCAAGATGGAGGAAGTACAAGATGGATCTCATACATTGCAAAGGAGAAGGTTAAAGAGAATGGAAGAAGGGATGTCATCACATCTAGGATAAAAAGCACAGTAATGTTTGTCCAACTAACAAGACTCACACACATATTTAGAGAGAGAAAGCCATAGTAAAGTCTTTTATAATTTAGAAAAATAAGAATGACTTAAACGATGATGCCACAAAAGAGAAGAAGTAGCTGTAGAGACAACAAAAAAGGCCCGAAGATCAGATGATAGTTTGTCAAAAACGAGTTCATAGACACTCTACCTATTTTCATGGCCCAAATTAATCCTCCATCTAGTATACAGATCTTGAAAAGTATAATAAAAGGAAAAGAATGTGATTATACAAAAGAGGACACGAGTAATAGCACTGATAGAAAAAAGGTTAGTAGGAAAACTGAGAAGGTAGTGAACTTGGATAAGGTAAAGGGAGGGAGAAGTTGAGGTGACACCATGACCTTTGACCAAATAGGTCCAACCATTGACAATGGTAATAGGGGGATGGGTTGGGGTAGGCTGATAGGAGGAGAGAATAGTGGGGATATCAGTCATGTGGGTGGAGGCCCTTAAATCAATAATTCATGGCGTTGAAGAGGAAGTAAGGAGAGTGTGTGTACCTGGTGTGGAGGAGGCTAGAAGCGAGGCGAGATTGACAAAGGTGGAAGCCTCGATACCATTAGTGCGGCGAAGGACGTCATACTCCGTAGGCATCAAAGTCACGTGGAAGGTAGGAGCTAGAATATGGGATGAAGTGAGGGATGCCAGAGTCGAAGAAGTGATCACCAGCTGTGCAAAAGTAGGCTTGCTGAATTGCTTCTAGCACAGTAATCAGATGATTCTGCTTCTCACAGTAAGAACATGGAGGAAAGGTATTGTACCCACGTTCGCGAGGAGTATGACCACCGTTAAGGCGGAAAGGAAAGGTATCATTTCGAGCCCGTGGAGCAGCAATGGCAAGAGCCGAAGAAATAGAGTTGATGCCTAGAGAAGAAGAAGAGTAGACGGGTGTACTAGTGATGACCCAAATGGCTATCGAGAAGTTGGAGGTGAGATCATGCACATGATCCTAGAGAGAACAACCCCTCAGATTTGAAATGTGATGGACGAATAAAGTCCACTAAGATAAACCCCAACATAAAACTCCTAGCAATAGTATTTGAGGGTCAGGAGGTCGGTAGTAGGGGGCTGATAGATATCAACCTCTTAGATGAAGGCTTGGAGGTGATTGTAGTGAGCTTGAAGAGAAAGATTACCTTGTTTGCAAGAGAGAATAGACTCAAAGATCTCCACAACTTGACCGAGGTTCATCCGGTTGGCGTACATGGTCTCCATAGTGAGCCACAGGAGACGAGCCGAGGTGATGCGTGCGAGTGGCTTGACATTGCTAGGCTCAATGCTCTGAAGGATCCATGTGATGATGTTTTAGTCGAGCTACGACCATGTCGCATATGAGGGGTCTCGAAGGCCGGGTGAGTCCTCTAAGAAATCATGGAGGAGACTGTGAGATCTAAGGAAGAGCTCAAAGTCAAATACCCATGACACATAATTATGACCGTTAAAGATGTACGCCGGTTGAGTAAGTTACACTGTAATGGAGTGGCGAGCTGGAGGAACCATTGGAGAAGGGAGAACACCAACTGGAAGAAGCCTAAAGGGCTCGGAGGTAGGTGACGGAGGGGGGTGAGACGATGCCATGAGGCCGACGGGTCTGGGCTGGAGGGGCACGTGGTGGGGTGAGTAGGTTGGGGCCCAATAGGCCAGTTTGGAGGGGCAGGCAGGGCCAGAGGGGCAGAAAGAGTTAACTGGGGCTGGCTAGGCTGCCTTCGGCCTATGGATTCGCACAGGGCCGGCGGGTTTGGCTGGGCCTGTCTCAAGTGGACCGGTCCAAAAGAAAACTGCCAGTTGGCTTGTCGGGAGATGGGCGAAACCCTAGCTGACGCAGTCGGAAGGCGACGGCCCCCGCAACAGCAACGGTTGGGGTGCAATGACAACATCAACGACAAGGGCTTGGCGCAACGGCAAGGGTGTGACAACAAGGGAATGATAGCTAGGAGGGACCTTGACGGCAGCGACAACGCCCTCAGCACCTAAGAACAATGGTGCCCATAACAACACGATAGTAAGGGCGTGGCAGCGAGGAGGGGCCTTGACGACAACGACGATAGTGGAGACATTAGAGAAGAGGAGGAGAGCAACGACACTAGCAAGGGGCGATGGTGGCGAGGAGGGCAGTGCCGAAAGGAGAAGGAGAGCTATGATAGAGATGACAACACCAGAAGGAGGAGAAGGAGAGCGATAGTAGAGATGACGACACTGAAAGAGGGAAGAGCAGCGACGCTAAAGAGCCGTTTGAGGAGGAAAGAGGCTAGCAAAGAGGAGAGCAATGTGCTGGAGACGGGTGGCGCACCAGAGAGGAGGAGGATGACAAGGGATACCTAGGGCTCTAATACCATGTTGACACGAGAGAGGAAAAAACTGAAATCTATGCAGTCTCAAAAGATAAAATATATGACTTTTATATAGGAGAGAGGAGAGATGAGAGAGAGATAGATAATGAGCCATAATGGGTCGAGAGTCTGATAGCACTATCGAATAATTCAGTGCTTATTAATCGTGAGTGTAAATATCATGAGGTCAGTTGTAAATTTCTCCACCTTATTTTTAACAGTTCAATGCTCATTAATCAGCCTTTAATCTTGTTAATTTTATGTTCGAAAATAGAAAGATACTCGTCATTTGTGGAATGCCAAAAACATAAATACATTAAGATTTGATTGTAGAAATCAATAGAGAACAAGTTAGAATAATTTTAGTTTGATCATAGATGAGTTTCAGAGGATTCAAAAGAAGAACAAAGATCATTCATCGAGTTTTGAATTAGTTTTACTCATTTCAATTGAAACATGCATGAAACGAAAATAACTTATCATAAAATGTAATTGAAAGCACGTAAATAAATGACAAAATCAGAAAGAAAATTATTGCCCAAGTTTAGTTTGCCTTCTTGGCAACTAAAGATACCGGTGTGATGGCTTGATTTCACTTAGACGTGCCACATCATGTTGACCATGCTATGCCGCTTGCTAGAGAGATCTGTCAAAAAGAGGAGTTGACCATGTTGTCACTATCATCTGGGGGGAGAAGGAAAGAGCTAACCACTTGCCAAATGCCTTGAGTGTAATGGGAGGAGGAAGGAATGAGCTTGTCGATCATTGGAGGCATTAATTGTGTAAAAAGAGGAAAGAATAGATTGTCGTATTCGTGACTGTCATCAGGATTTTAAAGATAATCGATAAACAAATTTTTACCAGATAATAAGTGATTATTATCTTTATATCTTTGACAATGATACATGTGAGAACTTAAGTTCCCAATATCATGGCACTTCACAAGCCGCTAGATCAGATGTGCTTGGTCACGTGGTGTGTTGAGCAACCTAAGGTCAACCCACCACGAACTGCTGCCAACTGGGAACTTAAGTCCCAAAACTATGTCAACCGATGGATTACTTTATACGTCTAGTATCGTGGTGCCTAGCCTACCATAGGATTAGGTTTATGTGATGACATGGCTTGCTAAATACTACTAGATGACTACACTCCATACGACTGGCCTAAAACACACGAAACTTTAATCTCACACAAAAATATTTTGGCAAATGAGTTGAATATAAATCAAAGCTATGGTTTCTCAATAGAGATCCTTTCTCTCAAAAAAAAATGATGCCCAAGACTATCTTGGGAGAAGGTAAAAAAGTGGTCTGCCCTTGCGCACACATGTGTGTATGATGCTCCTTGCTCCACGACCGGTTGGCCATTGAAATGTGGTAGGAGAGTGACGCACATGTGCGTGAAGCAAGTCCCTCACCACTAGAACCAAGCTTATGGTTCCCCCTGTCTAGGTCTACCCACTTGACTGTAGTGCCCCTTCGGGTCAGTTGCCGAGTGCCAACTTACCAATAGGGAGTGATACTTTTATCTTTTATTTTTTCTAAATAATAAAAAATTATTAAGTATTTTAACTTTAGATTTCTAAAATTAATAATATATTTTTACATTTATTTTGAAAGCTAATAAAATAAAATAACTAATTAAAACACAAAATTCTAGCATTAATAGTGGGCATAGTTGCGCCCACCCTTGTCGACCACCTAATGATCTAGGATAGTAGTTGCCGTGTTGGAGTAGTGTGCTTAGATCATTAGTGGGGGTTGGTGTGGCCAACTCCACTCCGGGTCATTCACGTCTACATGGTAAGCCTTCAATAGGGAAACATGAAAGACTGGGTGTATTAGGAGGTGCAGGGGAAGTTAGAGCTGGTAGGCTAGTCACCCCACTTGAGCCACAATCTAGAAGGATCTGTCAAACTACGCTACTAGTCTATTGTTCTGCTTCTATCTTTTGAGGCTCTTGTGGGTGGGGTAGATACGTAGTAATACCTAGTCGCCTACTATATATTCAACCTCTCACCAGTGATGATCATCATTTTTCTTCATCCATTAGGTGGCCTTGGCCAATGCCTCTTGGGCCTCTTCAATGAGGTTGATGTGGCTCTTCGCAAAGCGATATGTCGTTGGCAAGTACCTTGGACCCACTACTTCATCAGTTCTTGGGGGCTCAATGGTTGTCTACTAGTGACAAGCTCGAATGGCAAGTGTCAAGTGGACACACATCGCTGAATATTATGAGCGAATTAAGTAATATCTAGGAGATCAACCCACTTGTCCTATTGTGATGTGACGTAATGTCTGAGGTAGTCTTCCAACATCCTGTTCACTTTGTCTATTTGTCCATTTGTTTGTGGATGAAGGTGGTGGAAAAGTTAAGTTCAATGCCGGGGAGGGTGAAGTAGTCTAACTAGAGTCACCTCGTGAAGTGGGGGTCACAATCTGAAACTATATCCCGAGGAATGCCTCATGGCTTGACAATGTGTGTTAAGAAGAGTCTCGCCACTTCTTTTTCCTTACACTTAGAGTGTGTTGGTATGAATGTGATGTACTTGCAGACTTTGTCAACCACAACCAGAATAACGTCATGTTCACTCACTTGTGGGAGGCTAGTGATGAAGTCCATAGACAAGGACTCCCATGGTCCCTTTGGTGTGGGTAGCAGTTCCAGCATCCCCATAGGATTTCGTTGCTCCACCTTATCTTGTTGAAATATCAAGCAAGAGTACACATACATTTTCACATCTCGCACTATGTTGGGCCAAAAGTAACTCCCAACCAATAGTGTCAGCGTTCATTGCTGTCCAAGGTGTCCTGCATGTAGTGCGTTGTGCATCTCCTATAAGAGGCAATGTCAGAGTTGTCCTCCCTATGGGATGTAAGGTCGTTGGCCTTCTACATATATAATACCATCTTCCATCTAAAAGTGTTGAGTTTCCCTTATCTCTATTTATTAGATGAGTTGTTTGGCCATTGGATCTGTGTCATATGTAGTACGTATTTCATCAAGCAGGTCTCCCATGCTATCACATTAGTGCGGCCACTTCATCTGTGGTTCCCTGTCAGCTCAAAGCATTTACAATCACATTAGTGTATCTAGGCTTGTATTTGAGGAGGAAGTCGTAATCCGCCAAAAAATCTTGCCACCGAGCATGTTTAGGAGATAACTTCTTCTAGGGGTTATAGTAACTAGTGGCCACATTGTCAATATAAATGGTGAAATGATTACCGAGAAGATAGTTTATGGTGCTTTAACATCTCCAATACCTATCATAAATGTGACAAGTGCTCCTGCATATTCCGGTTACATACTAGGATGTCATCTAGATATATCACGACAAATGTATCAAAAAATGATTGGAATATGTAATTCATCAAGACACAAAATGTTGTTGAGGCATTTGTCAACACAAAAAGCATCATAGTAAATATGTACGACCTGTAACATGTGACATGTTGTTTTCTACTCATCATCCCCCTTGATACAGACCTAGTGGTACCAATTCTTCAGGTTCAACTTTGAGAAGATCTTTGCCTCTCTTAGTTAGTTGAACAAGTTTTCTACATTCAGTATTGGGTTCTTGTTCTTCATTGTGATCTTATTTAGAGCCCTATAATCCACAAAGCCTCAACGTTCATTTTTCTTCCACTAGAAGAGAACCGGCGCACCAACTGGTGCATGTGAGGGGCGTATGTGTCCTACCTTTTGTAGTTTTTCCAACTGCTTCCTCAGTTCCTCTAGGCCCGCTAGGGGCATCTTGTATGGAGCCCTAGCTGGGGGACGTTCTCTTAGCAATAGTTTGATTGCATGTTCTATGTTCCACCTAGGCAGTAGTGTGGCAAGTAATTTGCCACGCATAATATCATGGTATTCCTTAAGTAAGGGGAGTACCTAAGGATGACCCACCTGCTTCTCTTCTTCTTCTACCTCTCGTAGGGTGACAAGAAAGGTGTTGGTGTCATGTTGAAGGTTGGTCTTTAATTGCATGGCTGAGATTAGTTGAGGCTCCTCCATCTCCCACATAGCTCCCTACATAAAACAAGACTGATCTCCACGACAAATAATGAGACCATTATAGTGGAGGAAGATTCCTACCTTGGCTTTAACTTTTTTAGTGAAGTCAACTCCTAGGATGACATCGAAGTCGTCCATCTGTAGGATTAGGAAGTTCAACTTGTCTTCCCATATGCCCATCTGTGTCTTCACTTATCAAGCTAGCCCAACAGATGATTGGACTTCAGAGTTGATGGCCTTGATCCTATTGCTTGTTTGAACAAATTTTAATCTAAGGCGACTAGCTTTCTTCTCAAATAGAAAATTGTGAGTGGCCCCTGAGTCCACCAGCGCCTTGGTCATAATGTCATTAATCATTGCCTCCACAAAAGGTAGCCTCCTAGGGGTCACTTGGAGGGACTTTGTCTGCACCACAGTCAAAAGTTGAATGATGTTTAAGTTTGGTACCTCTTCGATCACCGATGGCGGTTCCTCTTGTGCCATGACAGGGTTGAGTTGAGCCCTCGTCATGTGTCGGTCTGCTCGATCGGGGCAATCGGGACTACAGTGGGGACCCCTATAGAAGTGACACCCCATCTATTTTGGGCCCTCTATTTGTAATGTGCCCCAAGTAGGGCCTCTATTGGCTTGCCCCTGGCAAGCGCTGGAGGAAAAAAATCCAATCCTGAGGAGTTCTGCAACCATACTGCCGCACCATGGATTGTAAAGACTTCGGCGCTGATGTCTGTTGCAGCCGCATGAGAGGCCCCCGCCAGCAGGTATCGCTCGATTACATAGAATACGGAATCGTCGTCCGCGACGGGATGGCTTGTTGGATCGGATCCCCATAAATAGTTGACTGTATCATCTTCATTCCTGAGATAATTGCACTCTGTTTCCTCTGTCTTTGAAGAGCGAGTGCATGCTCGCAAAAAAGTGGGCGATTGCCGTTTAGCAGAGTATCAGATAAGCAGGACACAATCACCTGAAACGAGTCTCTTGGCGCTGACGAAAACACTCCACCCAATCGTAAGCAGATAGATGTCTCTTGGGCTGACCTGCGTCAACAATTATCTACCGAATAGATCGTCACCCTCTATAGTAGGAAGAGTGAGATTAATGTCGGTCCTATACGCCTAAATTAATATCGAAACTTCCCCTCGTTGCCATGGAGGTCTCTTGCGACCAGCTGCTACATACGCCCCGATTGGGAGAGAACATGGGAAACCAAAGAGGCCGGAGAAAGATGATCACGCTCTCTTCTTTTTCGCCAACAAATGATGTGAAATATTTAAGGAGAGAGAATTTTGAAGTCGTCTCGCAGATGGGCATTACCAAGGAACTAAGACTCTGTCTTCCCTATCATATTCCACATTGCTTATCATTTGTTGTTGACCACTAAATGCATCTCGTGCAGAGATACAAGTCTGTGCGGGATCAGCCCACACTCTGACATCCTTGCATACACTTCTTCCGTGCCGACGCCTGCCTAGATTTTGTCTGTTTTACAATGCATCATGATCATCCAAGGCGAGGTTAGGGACAGAGAAGCTGATACGTGAAGAGGCTTACATCCAGAGTCACGTCCAGAAGTAGCCAAACCAGCTCGGGAGGCAAGTTTGCGTTAGTGGGCATGAGACAGTCGAACTCCTTGTTGGCTGATGAAGTGTCCTGCACGGTTAGAACACGCGGTTTATGAATCTCCATCATAATCCCACTGTCGGAAGTTCTCCTCCGGAAATTCAAATCCGGCAGTAATGCAGAGAATGATCGGTCCCAGTCATGTCTGACCTGCCCTTTATGTCCCAAACGCCGGAGAAAAGAGGCCCTTGGCTTCTGAGTCATGTCACCCTTGTGCCGCCTCCCATTGTCGGAAGCTGCATGGGCTATTCCTCTGTAAGGACAAATTAGCAGGGAGCAACTTTCGGATCATAATAACACACAACAACTGGCTGCCCGACGCCGGAGCTGGCCGACGGGAGTCGTTGCCCACCCACTCACCCACCCATCTTGGACAAATGACGACTGTTCGCTGGGTTCCGTTGAAGTTTTGGCGCAAATGCTCGATCCGCGTCTATGAGCTCCGCCCGTCAGAGAGAAGGGTCTCAAATTACACTGTCAGGTTCGTCGACCATACCCCCGCCTCCTCTCTCTCAGTAGCAAACCCCACAACGTACGGAGGCTATGGGTTACGTTGAAGTTTTGGCGCAAATGCTCGATCCGCGTCTATGAGCTCCGCCCGTCAGAGAGAAGGGTCTCAAATTGCACTATCAGGTTCGTCGACCATACCCCCGCCTCCTCTCTCTCAGTAGAAAACCCCACAATGTACGGAGGCTATCGGAGGTGTGGTGGGTGGTTCTGATGGTCGGGGACCCCTCCCGACGCGGCCATAAGAGACAGCCTCACCCCCCACATCGGCGGTTACAGTTTGAGTTACCGTCATGATGCGCCCGACAGACGCGTGGGCCGCCGCAGCCGCCAGCCACATAATTCAGAGCGAGCGAGAGAGGGAGAATCAGATGCGTAAACTTGTTAACACCTCTCCCGGCCGTAAGATCCGCCGACATTATTGATGAGTCACTGCCTACTGGCTGTGGGGTGCATGATAAGGACCACCCCCTCGGACGAATTCCCATCGAAGACCACGTCTGGACTTGGAGGTGGGGTCTCTACACCATGATCTTCACGTAGAAAATTAATAACATGCCTCGTTAGACAGAGATGTGTATCCGCCTGTAAGTACAGAAATGACCCGGTGGGTCCTATCCTCCCTGGATCACCATTCTCCCTCCCCCTTAGCTCCATGGATTGGACCCTCGATTCACCCTGTTTCGGAGACGTAAGGAGAGGGGGTTCTCCCGCCTGGAGACCGCTATGCCTGGGTAGCCGACACATTCAGCGAGAGAGGGAGAGGGAGAGAGAGAGAGAGAGACGCCGGAGAATCTCACCAGTAATCCTTGCAAGAGCAGAAACCTCCTTTGAAGTGGTGGAAGCGGCTCCTGTCCCTGACGACTATCTCCCGGTCGTAGACCTTGGACATGAGCTTGGTCGCCAGGTGGCAGTCTTCGCAAACCCGCAGGTTCTTCACGATCCTGATGGTCGTTCCCGGGGTGGTCTTGAGCAGCGCGTAGGCTATTGCCAGCCGCTCGCTGTGGTAGCTCAACGCAGTCTCCTTCTCCTCTTCCTCTATATCCGCGAGAACGTCAGTCGTCCGCGCCGCGTATCCTTCACGCCTCAGCCGCACGGCAATCTCCTCGAGAAAGCCGTATATCGCGTCGCTCTCTGGGTGTGACCGATCGCCCATCACGAATTCGTGCACATTGTTTCCAAGCTCGACCATGGTGTGCCCAGGCGTCTTCTTCACTCCCCCCTTCACCATGCTCCTCCTGATCCGGTGCACGTCCTCCCACCGCCTGTCGGAGGCGTAGAGGTTCGATAGCAGTACGAAGTCACCGCTGTGGCCAGGGTCCAGCTGCTCTAGACGCGCCCAAGCCGCCTCCCCAAGGTCTGTACGCTTGTGCATGGCGCAGGCCCCGAGCAGAGTCCGCCACACAACCGCGTTGGGCTCCATCGGCATCCCCAGGATGAAGCTGTAAGCCCGATCGACCAGGCCAGCGCGCCCGAGCAGATCGACCATGCAACCGAAATGCTCGATCTTCGGCGCTATGCCGTAATCCATCCTCATCCGGTCAAAGTAGCGGAACCCATCGTCCACCAGCCCACAGTGGCTGCAGGCGTACAGGACGCCGACGAACGTGATCTCGGTCGGGGAAAGGCCGGCCCTTCCCATGTCGCCAAACAGCCCTAAGGCCTCTTTCCCAAAGCCATTAACCGCCAGACCCACGATCAGGGACGTCCACGAGACCGCGGTCCTCGTGTGCGCCATCTCGTCGAACACCTTCCTGGCGTCACCGATGGTCCCGCACTTGGCGTAGAGGTCGATGAGGGCGTTCCCCACGTGGGAATTCCTGTCTAGCCCGACTTTCCAGAGGTATACGTGGACCCTCCTACCGAGCACTAGCGCTCCCAGCTCTGCGCAGGCGGATAGCAGGCTGACCATGGTGAAGCCATCCGGCTCGACAGGGTCTTGAACTGCCGGCTGCTCCTCGGTGCTCGGCGGTCTCGGCGTCATCATGTCTCTGTAGAGCGTCAGAGCCTCGTTCGGGCGGCCATTGATGGCGAAGCCGTTGATAATAGTGTTCCATGTCACCAGGTTCCGGACTGGCATTTCTTCAAACAGCTGGTGAGCGCTCTCGAAGAGGCCGCAGGCAGCATAGAGGTGGAGCAGCGAGTTCTGTACGAACACCGACCCCACGGCGAGCCCGTCGTGGACGGCTCGGCCGTGGATGACCTTGCCGTCCCGGCCGTAGAGCAGTTTGGCGCAGGCCTTGAGGAGAAAGGGATAAGTGTGTGTATCGGGCCAGAGGCCTGCTGCGAGCATGCGTGGGAGGAGCGGAAGGGCAGGACCGGGGCTGTCGGACTCTGCGTGAAGGCGAATAATGGTGTTGTAGGTGAAGACGGAGGGCCGACAGATAAGACAGAAGACGCGTTCGGCATAGGCGACGAGAGGGGACGGGAGGGTGGCGATGGCGAGAATCAGGTGCTTGCCCAGGTCGGCGCTCGAGACGGGAACGCCGGCACGCAGGGTCCGGGCGTGTATTTGCTTGAGGGCGGAGAGGGAGGGGCGTGACTGCAGGAGGTCGAGGCACTGCCTCCGGGAGAAGGGCCAGGAGGAGGAGCAGGAAGCGGAGAGGGGTCCGGCAAGGCCGGAGTCGAGGACCGGTGATCGGCCTGACGGGGGGCGGCGCATGTCGCCGCAACATCACCCGCGGCTTACGATGCTCGGAGACCGGCTAGAGGTCAAGCCAGGCCGGGGGGGGGTGGGCGGGGCGTTGCTCAGTGGGTCCCTAAAGTGGGGAAGCGGGCCAAGAAGCAGAAGCAAATCACGTCGTTCCGACGAAAAATCATGTGGCCTTTTTTCTATGGAGGTACAGCTCAGGCTGTGACTGAACTTCTGATTCCATCGACGTCTCTTAAAAGAATATAGCGTAGACTTGAAAACACCTCGGAAAAATGCGTCGACCATCTCCTTAGAGATCTGCTGCCCTTTCAAAACAGATGTTTTCCTGACTGCGAGAGCGAAGTAGAGGGAAATCCACCGTGTATTTTTAGCCTGTACGATCATTCCACGTCTCATCTCGAGCCTTGAAGGACTCGACCGGCGGACGATAGAAAGCGACAGATTAAGCTGGACTGGGGGATGCTAAGTATGCGCAGTGTGGAAGAAACTAGTACGTTTACGAACTATTCAGTCCACCCACATTTACTTCAGTTCTTTCCCCAAGTAATCAAGGACGAGGCCAGTATACATCCACATTGGGTGCATCATTTGGCGAGGCAGGCCCAAGGACGTGAATCAAGCTGTCTTTGCGATGGGGACGGCTCGTGGAGCCTCCGACCAACGTCCACATCGGCGCGCCCACCCAGCCCCGCCTGTTAGCTCACCATGACGGAGACTTATTCGGGCGCTCCTTGGCGGCGACTGAGACCCACGGCCGACAGGGGGAGGCAGATGATGGGCTCCTCCCTCGCCGGAAATCAGCCGCAAAGAAGGGGGACGTCACCGCAACGGTCACGAGTACCGAACGCCGAGAGCTGTGGACTTCAACCGACGGAGCACGCAGAAACGAACTTCCAGAGGGGAAGCCGGAGAGCTGAGGCAATGAAGCATTTCTCCAGTGACTTGAAGATTTTTTATATAGCGTGCGGGCTAACAGGGCGTATGTACCCAGCCCGTTATACATTGAAGAAGAAAAGGAGGAAACGCGGATAGAGAACGTTCAATCGAAGAATTCCCAGGGGCTAGTGGTCAGACTTTCAAAAGTCTCCCACTTGGTGCTGACGAACACTGGTTTCACCCTGTCATTCGACACCTTGAGTGCATCCAGGGTTTCCACAAACTTCTGCACCCTCTTGGCCTGCAAAGCGAACAAACCCAACATTTGTATAGGGGTGGAGGTCATCAGGAAGTTCATCCGCAGTTTAACAGTAGATTACCTGCAAAGTCTTCTTGAAGGCGGCTTCCCCCTCGGCTGGAATGCCTTCCACTACGACGGCTTGCCTCATGAGCATCTCCACGAGCGTCGAGATTTGCTCGTCGGCCACCTTCGTCCCGTTCGATATAGTCTTGCCGATTGCGGCAACCTTGAGCCTCACCACATTGAAGTACATCATTCTCCCGCAGCAAGGAGCTCTCCAAATGGCAACGAATCCACGCCGAAGCCTCTCACCTGGTCGCCGAGCTTATCGATTTCCATGGAAGTGTCGGAGATGGCGCGGTTGATGCTCTCCATTTTGGCCATCCTCCGCCTCTCGAGGTACCGCCTCTCCACGCTCGAGACATCCTCCATCAAGATAATTTTCGATCGGTTCTTCACGCCGCACGTGTCAAGGTACTCGCAGTTCCCCCTCTCCTTGCCCTTGTAGAGCAGCCTCTGGTCCGCCGGCTGCAGATCCGTATCTCCGGCGAGAACCTTCTTCAGCTCTCCTGTTGGCACCCCAAATGCAATAACTACGTCAGCAGATGAGCTGCCTGATGTAGGGCTGCATCGCCGTTTACTGCGATCTACTAACGTGCAGAGCCACGGGAGACGAGCAGAATGAAATTACGGTACTGGGTGAAGGCCCTGCCTCATTGTCAACAGAAAGAGGGTGTGGTGAAGTTAGCTGGGGTTCCCTTGTCGACACACACCGGGTGTGCTGCGAGCGGATGGGACGGGCAGCTGAAAGAGAAGAAATGCCGCCGGCTCTGCCGAGAGAGAACACGAAAGCCTGGAATACTCTCTCTCTCTCTCTCTCGCCCCCCACAGGGCAGGACCTCCGATGAAGGAGATCTGTGATTCTAGGTGCTTGCGAATTACTCACCGAAGGTGACCTGGGAGCTGACGGAGACCTCGTGCCGCGCGGCGCCATACACCACCCTTACTCGCACAACAGTTGCCATCGATGCTGACGCCGCGGCGGGGGAATCGCCACTCGTCGAGCACCGCTTCTGCACCAGCATCCCCCCTGGCCGCCTCTCCCAGGCGACACTCTCTGCCGTTGCCTCGTCATCTCCAGAACCCTTCTTCCTCCACATCTTCTTGTTCCGGAGTAATCGAAACCCTCGGGCTCCCCCTTGTCTGTTGCACTGCCCCCCCCCCCGCCCCCCGCCCCACTCCACTCCCTCCGACGCGAGCCGCCGACGGTGCCCAGAGGCAGGTGGGGGCCTTAATACCCGCGGAGACGACTCTGGGGGGAGGGGGGGAGCGGCAGCGGCATCCACCGCATGGTCCATAGCGCCACGCACGCAACAGGAGATACAGATCGACGCAGGCCGCCGACAGTTTTCATGGGGCCCACCTAAAAAAGGTGATTCTTATGCCCATGCCTAAGAGTCGTTAGATCCGAGGGGCATCACTTGCGGGCCCCATAAAGTCGCGCCGGAATAGGCCGGTCGCACCAGGGGATCTCGTCTCACCACGACTGCGCGCCAGCTTAGGTGAGTTGGCGATCGGGGAAAACAAACGGAGGAGATGAGTGGTCCCAGGAGGGGCACGCCTTATTTATTCCGACGTGGCAAGTATTTTTCTCGTGGGATCACGTTGCGAAGGAGGGCGCGTATTATAATTGGCCCAGGCCATCGCAGAGCCCCTCAGACGAGACCTTCTGGTCCCTACGTGGGGTTAAACACAAAACGTTCCTGCTATCCAAGCGGTCAACGTAGTCGGCTGGAGATTCCACCAACCCATCCATCCACAGGCATCGACCTAACGCCGGTCACACACACAAACGCTCCCCGTTCTACCGGCTCGTGTCCGCCTCGAGACAAAAGAAAAGTCAAGGGACAGCTGCTTTCAAAGCCGCAGACACGGTGGTTGACCTCCAGCCGCGTCCGTGCCGCCGCCTCCTGCAGCATCCAATCCCTCGATGCTCCAACAGATAAATGCAGCCTTGCCCCTCTTCGATCCCACAGCCCAACCCTCAAACGGAGGATCACCGAGAAAACACCAATATCGGGACGCGAGAGCGATTTGCTTAAACGTTGGCGCACAGGGAGAGCGGAGAGAGCAGATTCGCTGAGAAAGATCGGCGCCCAGGAGAACTGATGGCCGGAGAAGCTGTCGCCTCGTTTCAGGCCCACCAGATTCCTCCCACAGTTGCCGCAAGCATCTCGTCGAGGATTCACGGCCGCCGCCTGGGGCTCCCGGTACGCGCCGGTCACTCCAACATCGCCGCGGACCCGGCGCCACGGCGGGAGCAGAGGAAGCCGGAGAAAGCCCTCAACCTCCCATCCTCCATCTCGAGCATCCTTCACCTGAACCTCGATACTCACCTCCCGACCAACCTCCTAAGCGTCCTCCACCTCAGCGGCAACGATCATCGTTCTCCGAAAGACGATGTGCTTTCCCACTACCTGAAGAACACGCCCACGGCATCCCCGAAGGAGAACATAGCCGCTATCTGGCGGGAGATCCACGGAGCCCGAGACTGGGCAGGCCTCCTCGACCCCCACCATTCCTGGTTACGCCGCGAGATCGTCAAGTACGGGGAATTTGCCCAAGCCACCTACGACGCCTTTGATGACGATCGCTTCTCCCGCTACTGCGGGAGCTGCCGCTTCGGCCGCAGCCGACTTTTCTCCCAGTTAGGCCTCGCCCACAACGGCTATGAGGTCACCCGCTACCTCTACGCCATGTCTCATGTCGAGATGCCCACCTGGGTGGAGCGCTCTCTGCACGCCGAAACGTGGAGCAAAGACTCCAACTGGATGGGATACGTTGCCGTCAGCTCTGACGAGGAAACACGTCGCATAGGCCGGAGGGACATCGTCGTCGCATGGCGCGGCACTGTCACCGCGACGGAATGGTCCAAGGACTTGCAGCAGCGTCTGGAGCCCCTGCATGATGCTGGCGGCAAGCTTCACCACGACCACCATAAGGACGTCGTCAAGGTGGAGCACGGCTTCCGCAGCCTTTATACCTCCAAGGCCGAGTCGACCAGATACAACAAGACGAGCGCCTCCGAGCAGGTCATGGAGGAGATCAGGCGACTCGTGAAGATGTACAGCAACCGAGGGGAAGAGGTAAGCTTGACCGTCACGGGGCACAGCCTTGGTGGAGCGCTGGCCCTCCTCAACGCCCACGAGGCTGCGGCTGGGGGCATCCCTGGCCTTTCCCATGTCAGCGTCGTTTCCTTCGGAGCTCCCAGGGTGGGGAACGCAGCGTTCGTGGGGGAGCTGGAGGAATTGGGCGTGAAGGTCCTGCGCGTGGTGAACCAGCAGGACCTCGTTCCGAGGTTGCCCGGCGCCTTCTTCAACGAAGATCTTGGGAAAATCTTCCCCGTAGAGAGTCTAGACTGGGTCTACTCCCACGCCGGCGTGGAGCTGGAGGTGGACACAACAAGCTCGCCGTACCTGAAACAGTCGATGACGGACCTCCCGGCATTTCACAGCCTTGAGACGTATCTCCACCTGGTGGACGGGCTCGGCAGCGTAGTGGGAGCTTTCCGGCGGGAGGCGCGGAGGGACGTGGCTCTCGTGAACAAGGCTTGCGGGCTCTTGAGGGACGAGCTGAAGATCCCAGCGTGCTGGTACCAGCCATCGAACAAGGGCCTCGTCCGCAACGCCCACGGCCGCTGGGTGGTGCCTGAGAGGGACCCGGAGGACATACCCTCGCCTCTGCGTCATCGAGCGCCGGCGCCGTCACCGTCACGGTCCCCAAACTCCCAGGGTGCCGTGCCCTATTTGGTCGCCGCTTAGCTGAGTTGCAA